TCTCTTCTAAAGTTGGGGCGTTCAGATAGCCTAGTGGTTAAATCGAAGACCCGGGTTCGATTTCCGACATGGGTACAATGTGTGAAGCCCATTTCTGGTGTCCCCCGCCATGATATTGCTGGAATATTGCTAAAAGCGGCGTAAAACCACACTCACTCACTCACTTTTAAAGTTGTATTTGAGCAAGGTGATTATATGGTGCGTTTTTACTTCCTCACAAGAGACAGTTTTGTTCATCATTTGTGTATAAATATTTCTCTCCTTATGAAACGAGCAAAAGTAAAACGAAGTTCGAATACGTGTACGTGTACGTGTACGCTATAACGGGGCTATAACTGAGATAACTGGTCGCTAGTCAGTTTGCCTACGAATTCCTGTGCACAGATGATGCTTATTATTCGCTCGGTACGTAAAGCCAGTGACCGGCGAAGCATAATGTAACCACGTGTTAACACATGATTAACAGCTTACTTGTGCGTAGAGTCACTTCTTTCTTACATTCGTCCAATTCCTTCTACTGGAGGTGGAGGCACGGACACTATCACGTTATTTAACACTGTAAACATGGTAAAGGTTTGAGTCTTTCATGGCGAAGGTGTGATAATGGAATGGTGTTTCGAGCATTTAAATATCTACATAACTGAAAACACATCTACCTTACACACAAAATCCATCTTCAACATGACACAAATATATTAAAAGTGAGATCAGATTACGTGTTATTAATTTAATACAATCCAATTTTTCTTACTTTTGACTGAAGTCCGTCAACGCCCCAGATATGTCTTCTGTTTATTCCTCCCAGTCGGCGAACATTTGGCGATTAAAACATTGTTTTTCACGCAACTTCATCGGTAAGCCCATCGAGTCGCAACATTCAACAGCACAATGTGTCGTCTGCCAGGTGCGACAAGGGAGATAACTTTATACAGTAATCAGCGACGCTTGACTCGCAGTTTTCTAACACCTCCGCTGAAGATTTCTGTCTTAATCTGGTGCTAATATCGATTTGTGCAGGTTGAATAAGACTTCTCCATGCATTAAGCACAGTGGGTGTCTTACGTGGAGATCGGCCTTTGTGGCACAGAAAGTTGCCTGCAGGCATTGTGATGTGTTATTTTTAGGGATTAAACACTGGCAGTGCCGTAGCCAGCCGGCGGGGCAGGAGGCAGTTGCCCCCCCCCCCCCCCCCCCCCCCCAACTTTTTCTATAGAAAACAGTTTTATTTGAAACAAGTTTGGGACAAGTCAAACTTGTACAAATATTTGCCACCACCCCCCATGTCAAAAGATAAACTACGGCCTTGACTGGGCAAGCTGAAAAGTGCTTCTGTGTTCCGAAAACATTATTCAAATAGAGACTACATTATTTGAGTTTGAGCTTACTTACGGCCAATCAGTGAGTTCAACTGCAGGTATATGATTTAAGTTCACCCACATAGTAACTCAAACAAATATGTGCTAATCTGAGCCCACTCACTTTGGTTGTTAGTGTATAAATACCGAAATAATTTGAGACGCTATTACTTTCAACGATGGCAAATCAATAGACACATCAAATGTTCGTTCCCACGTCACCCGAAATAGAAATACACACACAATAACAGAAGCCTGAATCTACTGAAACAGGACTGACAGGGATGTCTTCCATTTTACAGATGATGCCTCCCACCTCCTTAATTTGTCATGAACTGTCACAAAGGTACTAAAAATGTGTGATATGTGAAGAAACATGAGATAGGTCTACTTCGTCTATTATTAGTGTGGTGTGTTATTGCTGGACCTACTTTCTAAGAGTTTCTTATTTCTCTAGACCACACGGAGTCCAGTCAGTCTGCGAACAAAACCCATACTAACCATACACAAATTGCAGAAGAAGAAGTGCCAGTTGTTATTACTCATATGTGTGCACAATCACACAAAAAAAAGAAGAAACATAGAAGTGGTGGAACATTATTAAAAACGTTACCATGACAACTCTTCATACCATACTTAGAAATTAAAACATTCAAAACAATATATTTCCCCATAACCGTGTAGTTAAAACCAGAATATGAACACATCTATTTGTCTGTTACAGTTACCAAGGCAACATTTTGATGATAACTTCATGGTTGCGTTATGCTTTTCAGAATCTTTATCACCATGGTCTAATAACAAAACCCGGCATGTATCAAACTACGGATAAGTCAATATATTAAAACAAACTGACGTTGTGTTCATGCTGCTCACGTTCTTAAAGATCAATACATTTGGCACGTGACATTAGTTAGAATGTCATTGGCACGGTGTCACACTTCCAGAGGGTTAACAAAGTCAAGGAAGTCAAAACAGTGGCACTGATGGCATGGACGAATGTTGTATGTTATCACACAGTTGATTAATTTCTGATTTTTAAATTCTTGTTTTTTCAATTAGTATATTTGTAACTTCGATTTGAAATAATAAACTTGACATTAAAAAGAAATAAATCGATATTACGAGAAAGAACATGTAATTTCGAGAAAATAATCGAAGTAAGGAGAAAAATAATCGAAACAATGAGAAAAAGTTCGAGGTAAAGAGAAAGAACCCGAAATTACGAGAAAATAATTGGAATAACGAGAAATTGCTATTCACGAAAAATAAAATGAAGCCACCAAAGTGGCACAGTTAGGCTTTCGTAGATATGTAGTCCACAGGCAACAAAGACGCCTCTTAACAAAGCTGGTAACAAGGAAAAAGGTAAAGTATTTAAATACAATGCAAATATGTGTTGAGTGCCACACTATATATAGATTACTAAACTCCTCCCCATTAGATACTGTTTGTTTGTTGGTTAACGTCGCACTCAGCAATATTACTATATGACGGCGGTTTGTAAATAATTGAGTCTGGACCGGACAATCCAGTGATTGACATCATTAGCATCGATCCACACAGTTTGGATACGATGACATACATCAACTAAGCCAGCGAGCTTGACCCCCCGATCCCGTAAACCGCTTCTTACGACAAGCATAGTCGCTTTTTACGTCAAGCATGGGTTGCTGAAGACCTATTCTACCCCGGATCTCCACGGGTCGCATTAGATACTGTTTTTATTACAATGTGTGTATCTGAACATTATTTATTACTCATTTAATTTTACATATTCATCTAAATTATAAAAAAACACGTTGATATAACAGTGGCGTATGAATACAACATCAGTTACATGAGAGATTAAACGATAGTTTGCATTTTGACAAAGGTTGGAAATCTGCCAGAGGCTGTTATGAAATTATGAACAAATTTTAGTATTTCTAAATTAGTCTTTGCTGTAGCATTTGCATTTCAATAAAGAATAGAGTTTAGATCATAATCTTTGGAGTAAAAATACATGTTTTTTCTTATGCCGGTGTAGTTGGTACAGGTAAAAGAATAGTGAAGTGCATCTTTGTGGTGGTAGCCAAAATAACAATTTGGATTAGCTGATAAAAACACTTTATATCTGTGAGCATAGATGTCACAACAGCCAAGTCTCAAGTAATAATGCACAATTTGGTTGAATCTAGAGCCATCGTTTAGATCATGCCTGTTGCAATGCTTTTCATTACCTTTTATAATTCTTTTGAAATCTTTCAATGTACTTGCTTCAGTATATGCAGTAGGCAAGGAATTCCAGAGTTTGACTGTATCCTGAAGATACGATTTCGCACATCTTGTTGTTCTGTAATTTACAGTCAATTTGAGTCGCGGGAAGCTAACGAGGTGAAATTCCGCTCACCACATGTTTGTCTGAGCTGGGCCCACTTGCCCGAAACGATCTAAGCGCTAAGACTACCGTAAGCCTATGTTAAAGTATGGGGGTTAAGATGATCTTAGCGCTAAGATTGCTTTGTGCAAGTGGGCCCTGGAAACTCCGCTCATGGATCCCCTTGAGTACAATTCGCTCAATGTGTATTTGTCAGTGTATTGTTCGCATTTGTATTAATTGTTCTGGAAAAATGAAGCCGGTATTGTCCTGCCTCCCAAACCCACGAGGACAAACGTTCTGGGGAAGGCGCGGTGTTGCACGACAAACGTTTTGCATATGCCTGTTTGGTAATTATTTCAATGCGAATCGGTATGTGCTACTGTTCAAACATACGGCTGTGTCAAATACAAGAGTACCAAAAGTCATGCATTAAGTGTTGACAGTATGACGTTTAGATACAGACCAGCCTGTTCTCGGACCACATGTAATGATATAAATAACATCAATTGAAATATTTCAGGCGTTCAGGCCTCTACCATTTCATCGTGACCTTTTATTGCAGTAAGTGCAGTAAATGGCCAATAAAACACTGATTCAGACGTCATCTATGTAAGCACGTCCGGTACAACATGAAAGTCTTTGTATGATCCGTTTCAATGTGTGCTGCTTAATCAAGTCTTTGAAAGGCATTTGGAAGTGATGCACTAAAGGAAGATAATTTACGGATGTCAACTTCTTCATTATGAGGAACACAACGTTTCGGAGTATGTACTAACCTGATGAAGGTGTGACCCGTGAAGATCCGGGGTAGAATAGGTCTTCAGCAACCCATGCTTGCCGTAAAAGGCGACGATGCTTGTCGTAAGATGCGACTAACGGGATCAGGCTCGCTGATTTATAGATTTTTGTTTTTGTATCCCAATAGCGTAAATCGATGCTCATGATGTCACTAACTGGATTGTCTGGTCCAGACTCGATTATTTACAGACCGCCGTCATATAGCTGGAATATTGCTGAGTACGGTGGTAAACAAACAAACAAACAAACTGTAAGTATATTCATTTACTTCAAAACGTTGTGTTACTCATAATAAAGAAGTCTACATCCATACATTCTCTTCCTTATGTGCACTGCTTAATATTTTCAACTTGATCATGAGTCTCCTTGTGAAGCATATGTGCTGAAACCTTTCCATCTGTCCTTGTAACAATGCTGACATCCTTCATTCTGATTCTGTATCAGTGCTGACAGATAAATAGAATAGAATATAAATTGACTTTAATGACCGGCACCAGAGGGACTGATTGTTCCGTCCGGCCCTCCTCTACACGCCGTAGTTATCTAACGAAGTCGAACATGGAGGGACGCTTTCTGGTCGTTCTACTATTGGCCTTGGACCTTGTGCTGACTGAGGTGATGGGAATGGAGGCACCTTACCTATGTTTGTTCTCATGTAGTTCATGTACTCTATTACTTATAAAAGGAGAACCGCTGTTGGGGACCTGGGGCTGCATTGGCCCTTGACCACCTACTGGACCACTGACATGGGGAGTGGGTGGTCAAATTTGCTGCTGTTACGGTGTAATCGGTATTTAACAACCTTAAATGCAGCGGCCATTCCGAAACGGGTTTGCTACCAATCGGCGCAATTTTCTCTTGAAATTCTGTACTCTTCCCTCACAATGTGACTTGTCTTTTATTTTACAATAAGTAGCATCTCGACCCCACAGGTCACCTGGCGTCCGTTATCAGGCCAGCTGCCCGGGTACGTCCAAATCCAGGCTGTGGACATACAAGATGTGCCGAACATCGGAGGTCGGGTGGTGAGTGTCTCCTACACCGCAACAAGCACGACTCATGTGCTGTGGCAAGTTGATGGAAAAGAGGTGATGCGTAAGTACCATGATACATTAATTAAGTGATCCATAAAAAAATATAAAATGATATTTTTGAATTTGTTTATACATTGACAATTGTTCATTATGCACCTGCATACATATCTTATACTTTCACCGTAAACGTTCAGGGAGGATTGGATTGTAATGCATAATCTTCTTTGTGTGAATGTTTCAAGGGGGCGATGCTGTAGCCTAGTGGTTGAAGCGTTCAATCGTCACAAGGCCCGGGTTTGATTCCCACATGTGTACAATATGTGAAGCCCATTCCTTGTGTTTCCAACCGCGATGTTGCTGGAATATTGCTAAAAGCGGCGTAAAACAATGCCCACTCACTCACACACTACTAATAATATGTGGATGCGATGTAATGTATTTAACGAATTGATTGATTTTTCATCGGCAATCGAAAGTAATAATGGCAAAGCTACAGTGAATCTGAGTGACATGTACCTCATATTCTAGTACTATGATAGAAATAAGTTCAGTACGACGAATCTATATAACATTTCAGACTTCGACACAAACTTCGCCACAATGTCCGGTCAAAACTCTGCGTCTCTGCGTCTGGTGCGTGTTGACCCAGACACGTCGGTAATGGCCACAATCATCTTGCCGGCGTATCAGGAAAGCGTGTACTTCCGGGTAGGGGAGGTAACTCCAGGCAGATACACTATCTCAAACCACACCCTACATGTCACCCCCAAAGAGGCTGTCACGTACGCACAGGAGGACATCGGGGACTTCCACGTCGACGCCGTTATGTGGGTCGGCGGCGACTCGCTGGCAAGCAATCTTCGACTTCACAGCATGATGATCATGCCTGACTACTGTAGCCGGCCTGTCCGACCGCTGGTTGGTGTTCACTCGTCTGTACCAACGATGATAGAGGCTGTCCGTGGTCGAACCGACTGGATAGGCAGCCTTTCGCCTGGCCAGACGGCAGCCGAGAGGGTTAACCTTGTGTCAGTGTCCCGCCCAACAGGGTCGCGGGGAATGCTTGCTGTCAGTTCCACGTTCTCTCCCCCGACCAGCCCAATTAAGTCAGTACACACCGTTCAGCGCACATTCTTCAAACCAGCCATCGTTAACAGCGACTTCATAGAACGTAATACTGTTATGTTCTTCGGCTGGCAGAATGATGTGGTGGTGGACAAGCACGAGGATGCCGACTTACATGTGTATGCTTTGGGCAACCCCACGCCCCGTATCACGCTTGCGAAGAATGGCACTGACCTCAGCCTGACGGTAGATCGTCTGGACATTGAAGAAGCGTATTATAAACACACAATTTTCCGCTTCAGGAATGCAACCACTGCTAGTTCCGGTCGCTATATTTGTACGGCCCAGAGTGGGAGTGGGCGGATCAAAGAGACGTTTACGTTGTCCGTACGTTCAACGTGTTAGGGGAAGAGAGAGTGCGGTCACCTCATGTTCTGGTAACGAGGTTGGTCACCGGTAATCACCTTGCGGTTTTTCAGTGCGTTTCTATCAAGGTGAAGGTTGAGTATTTTTCACTTCATACAAAAATGTTCAAAATTTAAACAGAACTATCATTGATGCTGAGGACGATAAAGGAAAGGCGTTATCGATGTAATTTGAAGCTTGGGTACTGCTTCTTTCTTATTTCTCCTCAGGTAATAATGTGAGGTCGCATAGATACAATCTGATTAAAGCCATCAACAATAAGATTCCAATATGTTATGCGGAAATGCTCCGTAAATCTTTCATACAATGAATCTTGGTATGGGCTATTGTATTCCGAGCTGTACGAGTTACCTTATGCAAGGCATACTCCTTCACGACCTGCATTAGCTAAACCCCTTGTACATTAACTCATCCTTCTGGTTCACTACCCATTTGAAAACAGTTACCAATTACCTTACAAAACAAAAAGTGAGTGAAAGTGTTCTAACTTCTAAATATATGATTTTTCGTTGCAGCAGTCCTCGTGGTGTATACATGTGAACTGTGATGCTCTATTTGTATACTCTGTTACTGTTCCCTCTGTGTGAGTAATGTAATGGACCCGTGCAGTTCCGGGTAGAGAATAGGTCTTCAGCAACCCATGCTTGCGACTATGCTTGTCTTAAGAGGCGACTAACGTGACCGGGTGGTGAGGCTCGTTGATTTGGTTGATGCATGTCATTGTATCCCAATTGCGAGGATCGATTTTCATGATGTCAATCACTGGATTGTCTGGTTCGGACTCGATTACTTACAGACCACCGAGTGCGGCGTTAAACAACAAGCAAACAATAATGTAATGACGATATAACGGGGGTGTGCTGGTGACGCCGTGAACTTGTGTACTGTCTATTTGTCCTATTGGCAATAAAATATGCTTCAATCATGTGCTGGTTGTGCTATTCGTGTTGTCTGTGAGATGAAGTGGGGTTTAACGTCGCGTTCTAGATTATTGCAATCTCATTAAAATCAGATCTACGCTCGTAAGTTCTCGCTGCCGCTAAACAAAGATCTGAGGATACCCCATTACGAGTCACGTCAGACCGACCTTGCGCGAACTTTGACCGACCAATGGCATGTCCAATCAGAAGACAGCTTCCTCGAGCTTTACGGCACTAATTTTGAATTGGCGACTGCACTTCGAAACATATTTTGACAAATTCTCGATTAAAAATTTGAAACCTGAACAAAAGAACATTCTGGAATGGCTAATACATGGATTGTATGGATTTGGTCGTTAAACCCTAAACTATCGTTCGGAATACCCCGGTTTCGAGGATGCATGATTAGAAATCACATCCCGACTGTCACTTTCATGATCTGGTAAGCGACGCTCTGATTGGTCGGATGAAAGGTCGTTCAGACGTGACCCCCTACTGGGATGTCCTCAGAGCTTTGTTAAGCGATAGCGAGAACTAAGATTTGATTTTAATGAGATTGAGATTATTGCACTTATATAGCGCGCACGCACGCACGCACGCACGCACATACACGAAGAACATTCAATGAAGACCACCATGCTTACATGTTGTACTGATCATGAATAATGAATACTGATTTTCATGGCATAAGCAAGCACAAATTTCTGAAGGTCAGAATATTTCAGCTCTATCCAAGCAATTGGTATTGCGAAAGAAGCGAAATTGTTTATGAATGAACGTCAACAGACCACTCACAACAATATAATAATAGATGGCCCTTTGAGTCACGTGAATGATAAATATATTAACTTGAACCTTTATGCAGCCACGTGAATATTAAATGTATCAACTATAACGTTTATATGGCCACATGTATTGAACCCATCCTTGATGTATGGAGGAATCCAGTTGATGTATTACCTTGATATTTGATCATTTTAGAGCCTGAAGGCAACTTTCCTCAATAGTGTGTATTGTTATGTACTGTGGTATAATCTTGTATACTGGTGTGTTCTGTGGTGTAATGTTATGTACTGTGGTGTAATGATGTGTAATGATGTGTAATGGTGTGTACTGTGCGGTAATGGTGTGTACTGTGGTGTACTGTGGTGTACTGTGGTGTACTGTGGTGTACTGGTGTGTAATGGTGTATAATGTTATGTACTTAGGTGTAATGGTGTATAATGTTGTGTACTGTGGTATAATGGTGTGTAATGTTGTGTACTGCGGTGTAATGGTGTGTACTGTGGTGTAATGGTGTGTAATGGTGTGAACTGTGGTGTAAAGGTGTGTAATGTTGTGTACTGTGGTGTAATGGTGTGTAATGTGGTGTAAAGGTGTGTAATGTTTTGTACTGTGGTGTAATGGTGTGTAATGTTGTGTACTGTGGTGTAATGGTGTGTAATGTTGTGTACTGCGGTGTAATCGTGTGTAATGTGGTGTAAAGGTGTGTAATGTTGTGTACTGCGGTGTAATCGTGTGTAATGTGGTGTAATGTTGTGTAATGTTGTGTACTGTGGTGTAATGGTGTGTAATGTTGTGTACTGTGGTGTAATCGTGTGTAATGTGGTATAAAGGTATGTAATGTTGTGTACTGTGGTGTAATGGTGTGTAATGTGGTGTAAAGGTATGTAATGTTGTGTACTGTGGTGTAATGGTGTGTAATGTTGTGTACTGTGGTGTAATGTTGTGTACTGTGGTGTAATGGTGTGTAATGTGGTGTAAAGGTGTGTAATGTTGTGTACTGTGGTATAATGGTGTGTCATGTTGTGTACTGCGATGTAATGGTGTGTACTGTGGTGTAATGGTGTGTAATGTGGTGTAATGGTGTGTAATGTTGTGTATTGTGGTGTAATGGTGTGTAATGTTGTGTACTGTGGTATAATGGTGTTTAATGTCGTGTACTGTGCTGTAATGGTGTGTAATGTTGTGTATTGTGGTGTAATGGTGTGTAATGTTATGTACTGTGGTATAATGGTGTTTAATGTCGTGTACTGTGCTGTAATGGTGTGTAATGTTGTGTACTGCGGTGTAATGGTGTGTACTGTGGTGTAATGGTGTGTAATGGTGTGAACTGTGGTGTAAAGGTGTGTAATGTTGTGTACTGTGGTGTAATGGTGTGTAATGTGGTGTAAAGGTGTGTAATGTTTTGTACTGTGGTGTAATGGTGTGTAATGTTGTGTACTGTGGTGTAATGGTGTGTAATGTTGTGTACTGCGGTGTAATCGTGTGTAATGTGGTGTAAAGGTGTGTAATGTTGTGTACTGCGGTGTAATCGTGTGTAATGTGGTGTAATGTTGTGTAATGTTGTGTACTGTGGTGTAATGGTGTGTAATGTTGTGTACTGTGGTGTAATCGTGTGTAATGTGGTATAAAGGTATGTAATGTTGTGTACTGTGGTGTAATGGTGTGTAATGTGGTGTAAAGGTATGTAATGTTGTGTACTGTGGTGTAATGGTGTGTAATGTTGTGTACTGTGGTGTAATGTTGTGTACTGTGGTGTAATGGTGTGTAATGTGGTGTAAAGGTGTGTAATGTTGTGTACTGTGGTATAATGGTGTGTCATGTTGTGTACTGCGATGTAATGGTGTGTACTGTGGTGTAATGGTGTGTAATGTGGTGTAATGGTGTGTAATGTTGTGTATTGTGGTGTAATGGTGTGTAATGTTGTGTACTGTGGTATAATGGTGTTTAATGTCGTGTACTGTGCTGTAATGGTGTGTAATGTTGTGTATTGTGGTGTAATGGTGTGCAATGTTATGTACTGTGGTATAATGGTGTTTAATGTCGTGTACTGTGCTGTAATGGTGTGTAATGTTGTGTATTGTGGTGTAATGGTGTGTAATGTTGTGTACTGTGCTGTAATGGAGTGTAATGTGGTGTAATGGTGTGTAATGTTGTGTATTGTGGTGTAATGGTGTGTAATGTTGTGTACTGTGGTGTAATGGTGTGTAATGTGGTGTAATGGTGTGTAATGTTGTGTATTGTGGTGTAATGGTGTGTAATGTTGTGTACTGTGGTATAATGGTGTTTAATGTCGTGTACTGTGCTGTAATGGTGTGTAATGTTGTGTATTGTGGTGTAATGGTGTGTAATGTTATGTACTGTGGTATAATGGTGTTTAATGTCGTGTACTGTGCTGTAATGGAGTGTAATGTTGTGTAATGATGTGTAATGTTGTGTACTGTGTAGTAATGCTGTGCAATGTAGTGTAATTTTGTGTACTGTGGTGTAATGGTGTGTAATGTTGTGTAATGGTTCGTAATGCTGTGTACTGTGGTATAATGGTGTGTAATGTTGTGTACTGCGGTGTAATGGTGTGTAATGTTGTGTAATGGTTCGTAATGCTGTGTACTGTGGAGTAATGGCGTGTGATGTTGTGTACTGTGGTGTAATGTTGTGTACTATGGTATTATGGTGTGTAATGGTGTGTACTGTGGAGTAATGGTGTGTCATGTTGAGTACTGTAGTGTAATATGTACAGTTGTGTACTGCTGTGTAACGTGTACAGTGACAGCAAGGGGTAATAGTGTATAAGAATGAAAACGGTTTTACTATCGTAAAAAAATCTTACCTTTACCGTCTGACCAGTTCACTCATGGTAAGTGCAGCCCTTACTCAGTGAAAGGTTTGATAGGTCATTCTTCAATAAAATCACCAGTGCCAAGAAAAGTGTTAACTGTCTCACCAGAGAGTTGCCGTACAAATGTACGATACGATGTACAATATAAAATGTACCTTCTCGCAATACGAATGTACCTCCTCGTAGGTCACACGTAGTGATGGGCGTTAAGCCTTCACGTTACGCCTGAAAAATATAGAAGAGCGAGCGCATATGCAACTCACACACACTCGGGCACGCACACATAATATATTAACATATATATATGTGGTTTCCTAGCAAAATGAATGTCCTACAAACATATATGTGCTCTCCTAGCTTCGTGTATAACCTACAAACATATATCTGTCCTGTCCTAACTAAGTGTATAACCTACAAACATATATATGTCCTGTCCTAACTAAGTGTATAACCTACAAACATATATATGTCCTGTCCTTACTAAGGGTATAACCTACACACATAGATATGTGCTGTCCTAACTAAGTGTATAACCTACAAACATATATATGTCCTGTCCTAACTAAGTGTATAACCTACAAACATATATATGTGCTGTCCTAAGTACCTGTGGTTTCCAAACAAACTTTATAACATAAAATTGCAATTCCTTCCAAGTTTATGAAGACAGTCACAAAATGTTTGGATGTCAGAACTGTTTTCTTGATGACAATTAGTGAAAAGTTCATAAGCAAAGATTTCATCATAACAACATAAAGTGATAAAATCGTACATCGGAGTCACAAGACAGTGTTTGGATGTTTTGAACCTTGAAGTTCACAGGATTCTAACTTCATACATAGAGTTTATTTCCACTCGCCAGCAAGTTCGCAATGGTTAGGATGTCCGCGAATCACAAATAATGTGAATGAATCCTTCTACCTTTTCTGCCTCATTGTAAGGTAGTGTAACTGTGGTGTAATGGTGTGTAATGGTGTATAATGTTATGTACTGTGGTGTGATGATGTGTACTATCATGTAATGCTGTGTAATGTTGTGTACTGTGGTGTTATGGTGTGTAATGGTGTATAATGTTATGTACTGTGGTGTAATGGTGTGTAATGTTGTGTACTGTGGTATAATGGTGTTTAATGTCGTGTACTGTGCTGTGAGGTGAGGTGAAATTGGGTTTAACGTCGCGTCCAAGATTATTGCACTTATATAGCGACGTGCATGCACGTGTATGTGTGTGTGTGGCTGCTTGTACTAGTCCGGACTGATGCCGATTTATAGTGCTAGCTCACTGAGATACCATGCCGCAGTTTAACATGAATACCCCACTCAGACACAGTATACTGACTCCGAGCCGACCAGTCCTTGTTTTAGCCCCTTAATGCCGAGCGCCAGACAGGGTAACAACAAGTACAATCTTTTAACGTCTTTTTGTATGACGCGGCCCGGGATCGAACCCCGGACCTTCCGCTCTCCGGGCGGACGCTCTACCACAAGACCACGGAGACGGTCCCTGTACTGTGCTGTAATGGAGTGTAATGTTGTGTAATAATGTGTAATGTTGTGTACTGTGTAGTAATGTTGTGTAATGTAGTGTTATTTTGTGTACTGTGGTGTAATGGTGTGTAATGTTGTGTAGTGTTAACCCTCTCTTCCACTATACATACTTGCTAAATCTTTCATTAGGCTAATCATACCGTTAGATCTTAAACTACATCCACATGATATGCATTAAAACATTAGGACAATGAGATTCTGTTTGTTTTAAGGTGTTAATGCCACACGGAGAGTTTGGTAATTTAGCAGTATGCAGTCAATGTTCTACACTGTCTGCTTCCTCCTTTAACCCAGAGTAGCTCGTGAAACTGGCTATAGTCTGCACTCTACTCCTCTCACCTACAGGCCTGAGTAGCCTAGTGACATGCAGTCTATGGTCTACAATCTACTCTCATCAATTGGTCTGGGTAACCTAGTGACATGCAGTCTATGGTCTGCACTGTACTCTCACCTACAGGCCTGGGTAGCCTAGTGACATGCAGTCTATGGTCTGCACTGTACTCTTACCTACAGGCCTGGGTAACCTAGTGACATGCAGTCTATGGTCTGCACTGTACTCTCACCTACAGGCCTGGGTAACCTAGTGACATGCAGTCTATGGTCTGCACTGTACTCTCACCTACAGGCCTGGGTAGTCTTGTGACATGCAGTCCATGGTCTACAATCTACTCTCATCAATTGGTCTGGGTAACCTAGTGACATGCAGTCTATGGTCTGCACTGTACTCTCACCTACAGGTCTGGGTAGCCTAGTGGCATGCAGTCTATGGTCTGCACTGTACTCTCACCTACAGGCCTGGTAGTCTTGTGACATGCAGTCCATGGTCTACAATCTACTCTCATCAATTGGTCTGGGTAACCTAGTGACATGCAGTCTATGGTCTACACAGTACTCTCACCTACAGGCCTGGGTAGTCTTATGACATGCAGTCCATGGTCTACAATCTACTCTCACCAATTGGTCTGGGTAACCTAGTGACATGCAGTCTACTGTCTAAACTGTACCTTCACCCACAGGCCAAGGTAGCCTAGTAACAATCAGTCTATGGTCTACACTGTACCTTCACCCATAGGCCTTGGTAGCCTAGTGACATGCAGTCTATGGTCTACACTGTACTCTCATCTTCAGTCCTGGGTAGCCTAGTGACATGCAGTCTATGGTCTACACTGTACTCCCACCTACAGTTCTGGGTAGCCTAGTAACACGCAGTCTATGGGTTTTACTGTACTCTTACTACAGGCCAAGGTAGCCTAGTAACACACAGTCCATGGTCTACACTGTACTCTTACTACAGGCCAAGGTAGCCTAGTGATATGCAGTCTATGGTCTACACTGTACTCTCACCTACAGGCCTGGGTAGCCTAGTGTTATGCAGTCTATGGTCTACACTGTACTCTCACCTACAGGCCTGGGTAGCCTAGTGTTATGCAGTCTATGGTCTACACTGTACTCTCACCTACAGGCCTGGGTAGCCTAGTGTTATGCAGTCTATGGTCTAAACTTTACCCTCACCCACAGGCCTAGGTAGCCTAGTGACATGCCGTCTATTGTCTACACTGAACTCTCACCCAGAGGCCTAGGTAGCCTAGTAACACGCAGTCTACATATGGTCTATGCTGTACTCTAACCTACAGGCCTCGGTAGCTTAGTGACAATGCAGTCTATGGTCTGCACTGTACTATCACCCACATGCCTGGGTAGCCTAGTAACATGCAGTCTATGGTCTGCACTGTACTCTTACCTACAGGCCAAGGTAGCCTAGTGACATGCAGTCCATGGTCTACACTGTACTCTCACCTACAGGCCAAGGTAGCCTAGTGACATGCAGTCTATGGTCTGCACTGTACTCTCACCTACAGGCCAAGGTAGCCTAGTGACATGCAGTCTATGGTCTGCACTGTACTCTTACCTACAGGCCAAGGTAGCCTAGTGACATGCAGTCCATGGTCTACACTGTACTCTCACCTACAGGCCAAGGTAGCCTAGTGACATGCAGTCTATGGTCTACACTGTACTCTTACCTACAGGCCAAGGTAGCCTAGTGACATGCAGTCCATGGTCTACACTGTCCTCTCATCCACAGGCCAAGGTAGCCTAGTGACATGCAGTCTACATATGGTCCATACTGTACTCTCACCCACAGCCCAAGGTAGCCCAGTGACATGCAGTCTATGGTCTATACTGTACTACTGTCACTTAAGGCTCTGATAGCTTAGTCATCCGTCATCGGTGGGTTAGGTCTTGTGTGGTCAGATGTCAGGTACGGGCTGTTTAGTAGTCAGGTGCAGGGCCCCGTTCCACAAATCGATCGTAACGTTAAGACGATCGTAAAAAACCCATACTTAAACATAGACCTACGACAATCGTAGTGCTACGATCGCTTTGAGGAACGGGGCCCAGAACTCTTCAATGGTCAGCAGTAGGAGCAGATCAGTGGTCAGTTTCGAGCATAATAAGTGACTAACGTTACTTGTAATTGGATTAGTAGAGCTTTTGCACAAGACTCAGTGTCTTGTAATCCGCTGCGTGTGATCCACGGAAACAACCGACACGCGTGTATGGATATAACCAACTGTCCATTCCAGAAAACTAATGGAACGTTTTAAATAGAATGACGTCACAAATGTAATGTGACATGTGAATACATCAGTTCCTGTTATAAATCAAGGACAGTACTTAAAAACAATACAGTTGTCGTTATGCTTTTAAGATGTTCAAGTGTTTAATATTTAAAGGCCCGTCTGCAACAACTGTGACTAATACCAATAGCTACCGTTAACATGAAAACTTTATGCTTGGCTTTGTTTCCGCTTGTTTTGCATGACGAAGGAAGTTAAGTCATTCTTTCTTCTGTTGTATTGATTCAAATATATCAACGTGCACCCAGAGAATAAAGGAATTATTGATGGGCCTTCGTCTTGTACAGGAAAGATGTTCTGACTGACTGCCAACTTCACTCGCGAAGGCCAAATCCCGAGCGTCATTGATCTTCTGGTGTTCCTGTCATGTGACAATTGACTACCAATTACAAGATTTGTAAATTATTATTTAATTAAGCCGAAACGTCTTGATATACAGTCGTATCATTGCTATTTTGTCAGGATTTTCATTTGTTCTTGGTTACTTACACAATCATTAATTGTCGTTGTCCAACCTCACACAGCAGGACACCACTTGACTGGATGGGTGAAGGCCTACCGTATTAACCCTGTCTGATTATGAAGGATGTTTTCTTATTCAGCTTGAGCGAGGACTGGTATTAGTTATACACTCGGAGGGCCGAGGACTTGTGAGACAGTGACGCAATGCATGGAAACAAAATGGACAGTAATGGGAATGAATCGTTTCCTTCCCTCATCAATTACTTCGCGGAAAACACGAGCATGCATGGGATATCAAGGTTTATTGGAAAAACGGGTTTTTTCAGAAGAACATTTTGGGTTCTGGCGGTGTTAACCGGAGCTGGTGAGTGGCCTAATTTTTCTTACGTTTCATCTCTTGTGTTTTATTTTACCCAACACAGATGTTTAGACGATCCATCAACTCTTTGCTATTTTTATGCTGTCATGCTTTTCGTGGGCCGAATAGTTCTTTCTCCACAAAACACACACGCAACTTTTCTAAATTAATATATAGCTCGTTAAAAGAACCCAAGACTAAATATATGGCTTGCAGCAGTGATATGCTCTGTCGTTAGAGAAAAATCTGAATGACTTGTATTTAATTTCTCATATTGCTTAAGTTGGCGTTTTCTGAATCTTTGTGTCTTTTGTTCATCTGAATGAATGAAATTATTGTGGTATAAGTCCTGTAGTTCCGGGTCAGATTATGTCCCCAACAACCCATGCTTGTCAGAGGTGCTAATCGGGCGGCCAGAGACGGTGACGTGGTTGGTTGTGTGTCATAATACCCCGAAGGTGAGGTGAGGTGAGGTGAAATTGGGTTTAACGTCGCGTCCAAGGTTATTGCACTTATATAGCGACGTGCATGCACGTGTATGTGTGTGTGTGGCTGCTTGTACTAGTCCGGACTGATGCCGATTTATAGTGCTAGCTCACTGAGATACCATGCCGCAGTTTAACATGAATACCCCACTCAGACACAGTATACTGACTCCGAGCCGATCAGTCCTTGTTTTAGCCCCTTAATGCCGAGCGCCAGACAGGGTAACAACAAGTACAATCTTTTAACGTCTTTTTGTATGACGCGGCCCGGGATCGAACCCTGGACCTTCCGCTCTCCGGGCGGACGCTCTACCACAAGACCACGGAGGCGGTCAATACTCCGAAGGAGTAGGATGTTGCTCATAATATCAATCACTGGATTGTTTGGTTCTGACTTGATTATATACAGGTCGCCGTCATATACCACCAGACAAACGCACATGTTAGTGTTCTTGAAGATCGAATTGTTTATACAGAAAGAGATTTCATGAGAAATGATGCTGTCCATGATGTAGAACAAGATATCTTAAGGGATTACTTAAAGAAACATTTTCTTACACAGACACATTTGTCAAAATTTACAGAAAGACCATTTCAAATTACATTTATTGTTATGTATGTACTCGTTGCATGCGTTGTTGCCCTGCATGTGGTCTGCAAATGGTATTTGCTGTCGGTGGAACTGCATAATAACTCTTGAGATTTATTTGAGTTACATGCATGAATATTTAGTTTTCATGTCTGATACTTGATGCCCAGATATTCAATTTGGAATATTGAAAGATAAATAGGCATGAATGAGCGCCTGGCATCCTCTTCATATGATCTTGATTCACACATGCTTATGATATGGACTTTACTTTCGGTAGAGTTTCTAGTGCTTATGATCCTGGAAATGTTTTTCCACCATTTTTAAGTATTGTCCGACTGGTTTTGATTTTCTGTCCTTGATCGTCTTTGAATCCATCATATTCTTAGGTAGATATACAATTCACATATTCCAAGGGGGATATCATGCCAAGGAAACTGATATTTTCGTATGTTTATTATTAATGCGACAAAACATTTTCTATAATCATATGACATCGCTAAAAAGCATAGGGGCGGTCTGGAAGCATAGTGGTTAAAGCGTTCGCTCGTCACCCCGAAAACCCGGGTTAGATTCCCGACATGGGTACAATGTGTGTCCCCCGCCGTGATATTGCTGGAATATAGCTAAAAGCGGCGTAAAACCATACTCACTCTCTCACTTCTAATCATAACAGTATACGGAGTACACACTCGCATAGTATCTCATACTCTGACGGTGAAGAGCAAACAACATTTAAAAACATTGTTTTTATTACATCAAGATGTAAAGACAATGATTCCAGTATGGTTGTTTTCACAATGGCTGTGTATCACATGACTAACCCAACCTAACGCTGACAACCCATGCATGAATTATAAAGTCAAAACACTTCTTGAAAACTGTCTGCTAAATGCACATAAAGTGCAGTGTGCAATTAAAGCAGTTGATGCCTTGCTTCATTTTAACAAGTGTGTCCAAGCTTAAAAAAGGATGAATATGTGTATATGAGAGTGAGTGAGAGTGTATATGTGTGTATTAGTATTTGTGTGTGTGTACGAGGGCTGGTCAAAAAGTTCTAAACCTAACAAACAAAACCAACAACCGTAAATGTGTTTTTAATTTTATTTTTCAACATATTCTCCCTGGTTTTTAATACACTTCTCATGTCGATAGTTGTTCAATACCAGTCAGGAAGAAGTTTTCCGAAGCCACCCTGAAACACCCATTCACAGCAGCTTTGAGGTCATCGTCATAGTGCTTTTCACGAAGGTGTTCATTCAGTTTAGGAAACAGGTTGAAATCACTTGGTGTCAGGTCTGGCGAATATGGAGGGTGAGGAAGCGCTTCGAACCCACATTGTCGCACAGCAGCCTTTCAAGTCGAGAGGTGTTAGAAGAGGTATTCCTCGCCGCTTTTCTTTGATAGAATCTCTCAGGCGATGAACCAAGTCAGCATAGCAGACACCGGTAATCGTGTTTTGGCTTTCTAAGTTATCAACCAGGATCACACCCTTTGTATCCCAGAATACAGTAGCCATAACTTTCTTCATTGATCTTGAAGACTTGAATTTCTTTGGTGCCGGAGAAGTGGAATGGTGCCAGCCTTAAACAGAGCTGCACAACGTTTAACAGTGGAATCCCCATACACTTGTGACATGAGGTTATGAATTTCTTGGGGAGTACTTTTCTGTAAATGATAAAACTTGATGACTGCTCGGTACTCGTTCTTTTCCATTTCTGTGTCCATTTTGACCCCTATCACGTTCATCTGGCTGTCACTATTATACAAGCGGCCTCAACAGACCAAATACACTTGCAATGAACTGCTCAAACAATGAACAAAATTGACTAGTTCACTTGGTTATTGTCCATAGTTGAAAGTTAGTCAGGTTTAGAACTTTATGAGCCCTCGTGTGTGTGTGTGTGTGTGTGTGTGTGTGTGTGTGTGTGTGTGTGAGAGAGAGAGAGAGAGAGAGAGAGAGAGAGAGAGAGGGAGAGTATGAGTGCGTGTGTGACTGAAGGGTTGAGAGTGGAAAAGCCATGAATTCAAAGTAACAGATTGATTACAATGACAATGCCATGGTGATATCTTATTTTATGATATTAAACGTGTATGCTTTGAGAAACATTTCATATATATTGATTATCATAAAGAATGATAATGTAAATTAATATAATTTTGTATGTCCAGTTTATTTCCATAATCTTTTAAAGGCGTTGCTATGTACAACATCTGGACGATAGGCACCGCCTACAGCAGTTGGAAGGTATCTACGGTGATCAAACTCGAATACAACTCCAAACTTCGATTCCCAGCCGTGACCATTTGCAACCTCAACCCAGTGAGGAAGACAAGTATTGATGGGGTACAGGCGGAATTTGACGACTTGAAAACAGCTTTACGATACGAGGTAATGGCTTACTGTAAAGCAACAACACATCATTTGATGTAGAAATTTACGAAATCTACCGGAAATTGACGAAATCGAAAATCCGTTTGCATCTCTGTTTCTGGTTCAACCATGAATATGGAAAATACTCGAGGTTTGTTTGCAACACATATTTTCACTCAGCGTTAAAAGACACATACTTTTCTTTTCTGAAAGAGGAGAAAAAGAATGTATTTCCTCCCTTTACACATTATATTTCGGAACTTCCAGCTTGTCCGTTGGCCAATTTACTACTCAATTTACAATTTACTAGTATTGGTCTCAGCATTTTCAAGAACAGATGCCTTTTTTCAAAACAATTCCCTGTTTTGTGGTTTAAGTACTTGAAGACAACATCATATAACATACAGCAGATTCTCTTCAATTGTACACAGCAGACGTAATTTAAAATTTGCTTATATCGTTTTTAGTGATAACAAAATCAGCAAAAATGTGACTGTCTATCCACTTGATTGTCAAGTTTACATACCGTCGCATGGTCGGAGTGCTGCTGTGCGGTATCTGGCAACAAACATACATTTTTGTGAACATTTTGAGTGTCGGTTGCTACAGGTAGAGCAGGACATGATTCCTCATTTTGCTCACACCTGTAGTCATCATTGATTTTCAATGATCAATTCTTATAACGTTTAATGCTATTTTGCCTTTTACATCTAATGGAATCTGTTTCGTTGGAGAGTTGAGATTGGTGTTATTTGGCGTTGGCGTTCTATATTTCCAACTGAAAATGATTGACGGTTATATTTTCTTTAAGAAAGCAAACATTTAACGTAATGATTTTAAGTAGGCATTGGTAAAATGCGAGGTTACTCAGTGGCCAGCATCTGTTCACAGAACAACAGTGCACGTACAAGGGATGAAGACTTCCCAGACTGGGGGAATTCCTCAATCTCATTCGATGCCTACGACAGCGACCACCGGACAGCCATCGACTTCCAGAAAGTAATGGCAACAACGAAGAAGGCACTGAAAGTCCAAATCGGCCATCAGATCCAAGATATGCTGTTGGATTGCTCCTTTCAAGGAAAAGTTTGCACACCTAGGTAAGACTGAAAGAATGAGAGAGAGAGAGAGAGAGAGAGAGAGAGAGAGAGAGAGAGAGGAGGGGAGAGATAGATGGAGGGAGAGAGGTGGAAGGAGTGAGTTCGAGTGGAGAGAGAGAGAGAGAGAGAAGGGGTAGAGGGAAAGAGAGAGAGGGAGGGACAGAGAGGGATGATGGATGGATGACGGTTGGGTAGATGGATGGATAGATGGATACATAGAAAGCGGGGAAGTGAACTTAATGTACGAACCAGTGAAACATTAGAACTGAATGTGAATAAATATGAATTAATTGATAACACAATGGCTTAAAACTGAAGAGAATAATAATTCTAACATGAAATTACAGCAACTTCACCCACTTCTACAACTACATGCACGGGAACTGCTACACCTTCATCCCAAAAGACGAAGCCTTCACCTTTATCAGCAAGACGGGGCCGTTGTACGGTACATACTGTCACACTTTATGTATCCAATGTTCAACTTTTACACAATTTGTCTCTGATGTTGTATGTGTGCCCGCAGGTCTCTCTCTGATGTTGCATGTGTCCCCGCAGGTCAGTCTCTGATGTTGCATGTGTCTCCGCAGGTCTGTCTCTGATGTTGTCTGTGTCCCCGCAGCTCAGTCTCTGATGATGTCTGTGTCCCCGCAGGTCTGTCTCTGATGTTGTCTGTGTCCCCGCAGGTCTGTCTCTGATGTTGTCTGTGTCCCCGCAGGCCTGTCTCTGATGTTGTCTGTGTCCCCACAGGTCTGTCTCTGATGTTGTCTGTGTCCCCGCAGGTCTGTCTCTGATGTTGTCTGTGTCCCCGCAGCTCAGTCTCTGATGATGTCTGTGTCCCCACAGGCCAGTCTCTTATGTTGTATGTGTGCCCGCAGGTCTGTCTCTGATGTTGTCTGTGTCCCCGCAGGCCAGTCTCTTATGTTGTATGTGTGCCCGCAGGTCTGTCCCTTATGTTGTCTGTGTCCCCGCAGGTCTGTCCCTTCTGTTGTATGTGTGCCCGCAGGTCTGTCTCTGATGTCGTCTGTGTCCCCGCAGCTCAGTCTCTGATGTTGTCGGAGTCCCCGCAGGTCAGTCTCTTATGTTGTATGTGTGCCCGCAGATCTGTCCCTTATGTTGTCTGTGTCCCCGCAGGTCTGTCCCTTCTGTTGTATGTGTGCCCGCAGGTCTGTCTCTGATGTCGTCTGTGTCCCCGCAGCTCAGTCTCTGATGTTGTCGGAGTCCCCGCAGGTCAGTCTCTTATGTTGTATGTGTTCCCGCTGGTCTGTCCCTTATGTTGTATGTGTGCCCGCAGGTCTGTCTCTGATGTTGTCTTTGATCCCGCAGGTCTGTCTCTGATGTTGTCTGTGTCCCCACATGCCTGTCTCTATTATTTGTGTCTCCGCGGGTCTTACTCTGTTGTTGTCTGTGTCCCCGCAGTTCTGTCTTTGATACTGTTAGTGTTCCACAGGTCTCCACAGGTTTCCCTCTGATGTTGTCGGTACCCCGCAGGCCCGTCTCTGATGCTGTTCCTGGTCTCACAGGCTTGTCTCAGATGTTGTTTCTTTTCTCGTAGACCTGTCTTTGATACTGTTTGTGTCCCCGCGGGTCCGTCTCTGATGCTGTCTGCGACTGATAATATATGTTTTCCTACAGGTCTGTGTTTTAGTGCTGTCTGTCTAATATTGTTTGTATCTGCTGCCTGCTGTCTGTCTACTGTTGTTGTATGTGTCCCCGCAGGTCTGTCTCTGATGTCTGTGTTTCCACAGGTCCGTGTTTTAATGCTGTCCGTCTAATACTGTTTGTATCTGCTGCTGTCTGTGTCTAGTGCTATATGTTTTCCAACAGGTCTGGCTCTGATGCTATACGTTGAGGAGGAGAAGTATATCTCCAGCCTTGGCAGCAGCGGCGTGGGCTTCAAGGTGGTCGTCCACAACCACAATACCATGCCATTCCCAGAGGACGAGGGGTTCGACACAAGCCCTGGGTTTGCCACATCCGTCGGCGTCACGAAGGTGAGGATAAATGTAGTGTTAGGATGAACTGGACAGAGGCCTTCATGAGATGTACAGTCACTCTCTCGACAGTATCGGGAACACTTGATGTGTCACTGTATGTTAGCACGAGATTCTGATGCCTCCGGGGTTTACTGAATACAGTAGTGCAACATATCGTCTGTCCTATATCTTACTGGGGCGGTCGGATAGCCCAGTGGTTAGAAAGTTGGCTTGTCAAATAACCAGGCGGCATATTCACGAAGCTGTCTTTGCTAAGACAAATCTTAGCGACTTACGACAAAAAAATACGACTGCCATAAGAGCTATTCTTGAAGCTGACTTAAACCTATCGTAGCCGTGTCCTAGCTACGACAGCTGTCGCGGCTAAGACAGGGAGCTCTCTTCTGTCGAAGATAGAAAGAGTATGGTGTTTTTCCCGTGACGTCATAAGGGAATTCCCTTGACCGACATTGACGGGCAGACGATACCGGTCATCTGTGCGCCATGGACTCACCTCCGAAACCTAAACGCATCAGGAATGTAATCAGGATGCCTATCGAAGTGGACATATAAATTCAAGAAGTGGAGAAAAATCATCACATCTTATTTTCGGCGTTTTGTAGGCCTTTGTTTTCATGAAAAGACTGGAATATTACTTAATGCGGCATATTCCCCAACTTTCTAAACAAATAATCTATATATGAACACGAACCGGTTAAACCAAATGTCATACAATTCTTATCATTATCTGATTTGTCTCACCCTCAAACAACCTTGCATGTTGTCAGGTAACCACAGAACGTGTTTCGGCCCCCTACGGTAACTGCAAGGGCTACGGATCGGGGGTAGAAGAACCACCCAATATATTCACCACCCAGGTTCCTAACATCACCTACAGTGATCAGGTGGGGGCGTTGACATTAAATGACAAAACAGTTAACAAAATAATCTTTGACTGAATTCATGAAACATTTGATTACCCTGAATATGTCAGGCAACACGTTCGGTAATAAGTGATTGCTAAGCGGGCATTGGTAGCGATATCTTGGTGCAGAGATGAGTTCTGATAAGGGGTGTAAGGATCCGCTGATCACTGGTTCGAATCCTAGAGTAACCTGAATATTACCCTTGGTTCGCCTCGCTGGCATTTGCTTGTTAGAAAGCAGTTCCAAAGGCTACATCTGGCGATCAATCTCATTATCATTATTATTATTGTTGTTGTTGTTGTTATTATCATCATCATCATCATCATTATTATTATTATTGTTATTATTACTTTAAAGTAATGAGATTATAACGTAGACTGAAAGCTGACTGATCCGGTTGCTATGGGGATATGTAACTTGTGGTTACTTCTAAGTAGACGTGCAAGAAGACGTGTGTGCAGAAGATGCTTGTGTCGGAGTGCGGCTGCTGTAACAACCTCTATCCCTGCGACCACAAAGCCCTCAGCATCATCAACTCTAGCATCACAAACACAGTCGGGTTTTGTATCCTTCAAGACGAGACGAAAGGTACGTTAGCAAATAACGTTATTGGTGTCAACTGGAAGTGTCGTCCTCACTGGGTGGGTGTTTTACGCCGCACGATAGTAAGCAATTGTATTTAAGTATTATATCGATGGAGAAACTAATAATTAGTTTCACGTATTGTATCTTTGTGGGTAATAGAACTGGAGTCTTAGGTGTGACCTTCGGCTTTTTGAATGTGGAGTGAATTAAACATCACATTGGCATACACGCGATATTCTCGAAGTTTAAGAACGTTATGGATTCCCCCGATGTACATGTGCGGATATGATTAGGCTTACAGATGGTCATCGAGTTATACTTTAAGGCTCGAAGACCAAGAGGAACACGTGGCCTAAGCGTCACAATGGAATTGTACATGGCGAGACAGTATATAGTGGAATGAAGACCTTTGGTTAGAAATGTAGAATGTGCGAAATGCGAGAACGTAATCTGTATGTGTCTGTCTCCACATTTCCTACACATACATGCTGATTGTCGGACTTGTATTCCAGCGGCTTGTGCATCAGCGGTGTCGGATAAGCTAGAAAATAACCAGATGTTTTGTCCAGACAGCTGTGACCCAAACTGCAAGTACGTTGTCGTGATCAATGTAGCTGCTGACTGCTGTTTCCTGTGTACATCACACATCTACTGTCTACCGTCTGCTATGTGATGTGAACTGTCTACCGTCTGATATGGACTGTCTATCGTCTGCTGCGTACTGTCTACCGTTTTCACTGTCTACCGCCTGCCGCATATTTGATATTTGATATGTACTGTCTGTCGTCTACGTCTGCTATGCACTGAGTATAGTCAACTCTCTTCCGCCTACTGTCTGCTATGTACTGTGTACCCTCTTCTGTCTACTATCTGCTGTGTACCGTCGTCTATGTTTTGTCTGCTGCTGCTCTTCTGCATACTGCATACTGTGTGTTGTTTACCGTATAACGTCTTCTACATACTGAATACTATCCACTGTGTACGTCTACTGTCTGCTATGTACTGTCTTCTGTTTACCGTATGATGTCTACAATGAACTGTGTACTGTCCACTGTCTACCGTCTAGTGTCTCCTTTGCACCATGTATTGCCTGATATATACCTTTTGCTATGTATTGTCCTCTTTGCACTGTCTGCTCTCTTCTGTCTTCAGGCTGCAATGAGATGTGTACTGTAATGTTCTGTCTTAAACCCCATTTCACCGCACTTTTTCTCTGTCTGCTGATTAATTGTCAATGTGAATTGCTGTCTTCTGTTAACCTTCTGCTCTCAACTGCGAACAATCTACTGGCACTGTGTACCAGCTTCTATGAAGTACATGTTGTCTTCAGTAGATTGAGTACTGTCTGCTCTCTTCGGCGTACTTGCTGATGCCTTTTGTGTAGAGTCTGCTGTCTTCTGTCTACTACTTGTTTTCTTCTGTTGTCGTCTGTGAAGAATCTTGTCTTCTGGGTATTGAGTACTGTCTGTTGTCGTCTGTGTAGAGCCTTGTCTTCTGGGTATTGAGTACTGTCTGTTTTCGCCTGTGTAGAAATGTGTATTCTGGGTATTGAGTACTGTCTGTTTTCGCCTGTGTAGAAATGTGTATTCTGGGTATTGTGTACTGTCTGTTGTCGCCTGTGTAGAATCTTGTCTTCTGGGTATTGCGTACTGTCTGTTGTCGTCTGTTGTAGAATCTTGTCTTCTGGGTATTGCGTACTGTCTGTTGTCGCCTGTGTAGAATCTTGTCTTCTGGGTATTGAGTACTGTCTGTTTTCGCCTGTGTAGAAATGTGTATTCTGGGTATTGAGTACTGTCTGTTTTCGCCTGTGTAGAAATGTGTATTCTGGGTATTGTGTACTGTCTGTTGTCGCCTGTGTAGAATCTTGTCTTCTGGGTATTGCGTACTGTCTGTTGTCGTCTGTTGTAGAATCTTGTCTTCTGGGTATTGCGTACTGTCTTTTGTCGCCTGTGTAGAATCTTGTCTTCAGGGTATTGAGTACTGTCTGTTGTGGTCTGTGTAGAACCTTGTCTTCTGGGTATTGAGTACTGTCTGTTGTCGTCTGTGTAGAATCTTGTCTTCTGGGTATTGCGTACTGTCTGTTGTCGTCTGTTGTAGAATCTTGTCTTCTGGGTATTGCGTACTGTCTGTTGTCGCCTGTGTAGAATCTTGTCTTCTGGGTATTGAGTACTGTCTGTTGTGGTCTGTGTAGAACCTTGTCTTCTGGGTATTGAGTACTGTCTGTTGTCGTCTGTGTAGAATCTTGTCTTCTGGGTATTGCGTACTGTCTATTGTAGTCTGTGTAGAATCTTGTCTTCAGGGTATTGCGTACTGTCTGTTGTGGTCTGTGTAGAATCTTGTCTTCTGAGTATTGTGTACTGTCTGTTGTCGTCTGTGTAGAATCTTGTCTTCTGGGTATTGAGTACTGTCTGTTGTCGTCTGTGTAGAACCTTGTCTTCTGGGTATTGAGTACTGTCTGTTGTGGTCTGTGAAGAATCTTGTCTTCTGGGTATTACGTACTGTCTGTTGTCGCCTGTGTAGAAATGTGTATTCTGGGTATTGAGTACTGTCTGTTGTCGTCTGTGTAGAATCTTGTCTTCTGGGTATTGAGTACTGTCTGTTGTCGTCTGTGTAGAACCTTGTCTTCTGGGTATTGAGTACTGTCTGTTGTGGTCTGTGTAGAATCTTGTCTTCTGGGTATTGCGTACTGTCTATTGTAGTCTGTGTAGAATCTTGTCTTCTGAGTATTGAGTACTGTTTGTTGTCGTCTGTGTAGAATCTTGTCTTCTGGGTATTGCGTACTGTCTGTTGTAGTCTGTGTAGAATCTTGTCTTCTGAGTATTGAGTACTGTTTGTTGTCGTCTGTGTAGAACCTTGTCTTCTGGGTATTAAGTATTGTCTATTGTCGTCTGTGAAGAATCTTGTCTTCTGGGTATTACGTACTGTCTGTTGTCGCCTGTGTAGAAATGTGTATTCTGGGTATTGTGTACTGTCTGTTGTCGCCTGTGTAGAAATGTGTATTCTGGGTATTGTGTACTGTCTGTTGTCGCCTGTGTAGAATCTTGTCTTCTGGGTATTGCGTACTGTCTGTTGTCGTCTGTTGTAGAATCTTGTCTTCTGGGTATTGCGTACTGTCTGTTGTCGCCTGTGTAGAATCTTGTCTTCTGGGTATTGAGTACTGTCTGTTTTCGCCTGTGTAGAAATGTGTATTCTGGGTATTGTGTACTGTCTGTTGTCGCTTGTGTAGAATCTTGTCTTCTGGGTATTGCGTACTGTCTGTTGTCGTCTGTTGTAGAATCTTGTCTTCTGGGTATTGCGTACTGTCTGTTGTCGCCTGTGTAGAATCTTGTCTTCTGGGTATTGAGTACTGTCTGTTGTGGTCTGTGTAGAATCTTGTCTTCTGGGTATTGAGTACTGTCTGTTGTCGTCTGTGTAGAATCTTGTCTTCTGGGTATTGCGTACTGTCTGTTGTCGTCTGTTGTAGAATCTTGTCTTCTGGGTATTGAGTACTGTCTGTTGTCGTCTGTGTAGAATCTTGTCTTCTGGGTATTGCGTACTGTCTATTGTAGTCTGTGTAGAATCTTGTCTTCAGGGTATTGCGTACTGTCTGTTGTGGTCTGTGTAGAATCTTGTCTTCTGAGTATTGTGTACTGTCTGTTGTCGTCTGTGTAGAATCTTGTCTTCTGGGTATTACGTACTGTCTGTTGTCGTCTGTGTAGAACCTTGTCTTCTGGGTATTGAGTACTGTCTGTTGTGGTCTGTGAAGAATCTTGTCTTCTGGGTATTACGTACTGTCTGTTGTCGCCTGAGTAGAAATGTGTATTCTGGGTATTGTGTACTGTCTGTTGTCGTCTGTGTAGAATCTTGTCTTCTGGGTATTGAGTACTGTCTGTTGTCGTCTGTGTAGAACCTTGTCTTCTGGGTATTGAATACTGTCTGTTGTGGTCTGTGTAGAACCTTGTCTTCTGGGTATTGCGTACTGTCTATTGTAGTCTGTGTAGAATCTTGTCTTCTGAGTATTGAGTACTGTTTGTTGTCGTCTGTGTAGAATCTTGTCTTCTGGGTATTGCGTACTGTCTGTTGTAGTCTGTGTAGAATCTTGTCTTCTGAGTATTGAGTACTGTCTGTTGTCGTCTGTGTAGAACCTTGTCTTCTGGGTATTAAGTATTGTCTATTGTCGTCTGTGTAGAATCTTGTCTTCTGGGTATTAAGTACTGTTTGTTGTCGTCTGTGTAGAATCTTGTCTTCTGGGTATTGAGTACTGTCTGTTGTCGTCTGTGTAGAACCTTGTCTTCTGGGTATTGAGTACTGTCTGTTGTGGTCTGTGAAGAATCTTGTCTTCTGGGTATTACGTACTGTCTGTTGTGGCCTGTGTAGAAATGTGTATTCTGGGTATTGTGTACTGTCTGTTGTCGTCTGTGTAGAATCTTGTCTTCTGGGTATTGAGTACTGTCTGTTGTCGTCTGTGTAGAACCTTGTCTTCTGGGTATTGAGTACTGTCTGTTGTCGTCTGTGTAGAACCTTGTCTTCTGGGTATTGCGTACTGTCTATTGTAGTCTGTGTAGAATCTTGTCTTCTGAGTATTGAGTACTATCTGTTGTAGTCTGTGTAGAATCTTGTCTTCTGAGTATTGAGTACTGTTTGTTGTCGTCTGTGTAGAACCTTGTCTTCTGGGTATTAAGTATTGTCTATTGTCGTCTGTGTAGAATCTTGTCTTCTGGGTATTAAGTACTGTCTGTTTTCGCCTGTGTAGAAATGTGTCTTCTGGGTATTGAGTACTGTCTGTTGTGGTCCGTGTAGAATCTTGTCTTCAGGGTATTGAGTACTGTCTGTTGTAGTCTGTGTAGAATCTTGTCTTCTTGGTATTGAGTACTGTCTGTTGTTGTATGTTTTGAATCTTATCTTCCGGGTTTTGTGTACTGTCTATTGTCGTCTGTGTAGAATCTTGTCTTCTGGGTATTGCGAACTGTCTGCTGTTTTCCATGTCTCCTGTGAACTATGTAATATTTTCTGTGCACTCCTGTTGTTGCCCGGATATTGAGTACTGTCTGTTGTCGTATGTGTTGAATCTTATCTTCCGGGTATTGCGTACTGTCTGCTGTTTTCCATGTCTCCTGTGAACTATGTAATATTTTCTGTGCACTCCTGTTGTTGCCTGGGTATTGAGTACTGTCTGTTGTTTTCTGCTGTGTATAGTCTACCGGCTTTTGTGTATTCTCTGTTGTCTTCTGTCGTCTTTTAATAGGGTACTACCTGCTTCTCTCTGTTATTTTCCGTGTACTGTATAATTTTTGTTATCTTCTGTTTACTGTATGTTGTCTTTGTTTAATGTGTTCTGCTCGCTTTCTTCTGTGTCGTGTATTTTGTCTTTTGGTTATATTCCTGTACTGTCTACAGTCTGCTGTCTTCTACGTCTAGGCTGCTGTCTTACGTGTACTTTCTGTTCGTCTCCACTGGGGTTTCAGGTGTCTTCTGTGAACTGTCCAGTCCTTCCCCAACCTCTCTCCGCCCAAGCTCATATTCAGAAACCTTACACGATCAAACAAACAAAACCTTACTATGTGCTGCGTTATATCACATTATGTTGGATATATTCAACAACCTTACTATGTGCTGTGTGATGTCATCCTATGTTGGATATATTCGACAACCTTACTAAGTGCTGTGTGATATCATAGTGTGTTGGATATATTCAACAACTTTACTGTGTGCTTTGTGAGATCACGTTATGTTGAATAAATATCTTTGTGATGTGTGATATCGCATTATGTTAAATATATTCAACAACCTTATTAAGTGATGTGTGATATCAAATTATGTTGAATATATTCGACAACTTAACTATATGATGTGTGATATCACATTATGTTAAATATATTCAACAACCTTTCTATGTGATGTGTGATATCATATTATGTTGGATATATTCAACAACTTTACTATGTGATGAGTGATATCACATTATGTTGTATATATTCAACAACTTTACTATGTGATGTTGAATATATTCAACAACCTTACTATGTGATGTGTGATATCACATTGTGTTAAATATTTTCAACCCAGCGATTGCTCATTATGGAATAAGAAATTATACGTTTTTAACAACTTAACTGTGTTTCGAGACAACAAATGATCTTAAAATGTCGAAAGCATGTTGCAGAATATTATACGACTATTGCTTGATTCAGAGATGAGTCTCATCAGTTGGAGATCTCCACAGCCATGTGGCCAGCTAGTAGTCATCTTTCCGGCCTTGTAGATACCTTCATCAAAGGCTTCACGAAAAGGCAGCGTGCACCGCCTATCAACAAGAATGCTTCTGCCGATGAAAAAGATGACTTTTTCAGGTGCGTTATATATGTTAAATCAAATCTCATTGTCAGGATTTAAGTCACGGTTAGACAGGGTTAGAATCAGGATCAAGATTAGGCTCGGGGTCAGGGTTAGGGTCAGGGTTAGGGTTAGGGTCAGGGTCAGGGTTAGGGTCAAGGTTAGGGTTAAGAGTCACGGGTCAGGTGAGAGTTAAGTGCAGGAATAGTGACGAAAAGCCAACATTTTTGTATCATCTGCCATCCGTAAGAACGAAAGGAACACGCAATAAGTTCAGCATAGACAGAAATAAAAAGTTGGAATATTTTGTTTGGAGTTTCCCAGCAGGTAATATGAAATTTGTGCCTTATCTGTCCGCGGGGTACGGAGCAAAACCATGGCCCATTCAGTAACAAATCAGAAACGAGTACCTTAATAAAAGGGAAAATAATATATAAGGTAAGGTTTTTGTAACACCCCAAAAGAATGACAATGGTAGACTGGTAGGCAAGTGGCTAAAATATTTGAATCATTAATGAGTCTTGAATTATATATTAAAATGTTTCAAAAATGTGAACAATGAAAAGTAAGTTGGAGCACGTGAAGCATCTGGATAGAAACAAATGAAAACAGGAAAAAGAAATTGAGTTAGGGAGTCACTCAACTTTCGTATATTGTAAACAACAGAGACAAAAACCTTTCCATATTCAATGGACATCTCTGCAAAGAGCAGTGTCGATTGTAAGATTCGAATATTTCATGAGCACGTGTTTATGAATCACTTTCAAATAGTGAATATGTTATGTGTTTGCGACAAGGCGTGCGTATCCCGCCCCTATAGGTGGCGCCCGTCACAAACACATGCGACGGCAAGTTGAGTGTTCACCTGAGTATTTTGATTCATGACAAAATTGCGTCACTCATTTCAGTGGACCGTAAAGATAGTCATCGAGACTTAAATTATCGTTCTATTCTTAGCGTCACTGGCTCTTCTACACGTATGTAACTGGTAGATCTTACATTGGTGTCATGTGCTGAAATAGAACTTTATTGTGACGTATATAGGCCACGTGTTACTTTGGGTCTTCCAGCCTTTGTGCACCTCTCGATGGCCTCCTTTAAATAAATACATTTACATACTTACTATTATAACATGCGTCTGTTTATGTAGGAGAAACATGATGAGATTAAACGTGTTCTACAAGCAACTAAACTATCAGAAGATACAGACAAAGCCGGCATATGACGTAAGTAGAGTGAGTGAATGAGTAAGAACATATCATATGATAGATTATGTAGATTTGGAGTAAGTAAAATGTTCAGCCTCATATGCAGGCTACATCACGACCACCAGTGAAAAATACATCTGGGACACTGGGTGTAGGTGATAGTGTGGTCAACGGTTCAAGGCCTCAGGATACGATGTCACGCAATTTACACCAGGTCACACACTGCTACCACATAGTAACATACCAAATGTGTAGGTGATAGTGTGATCAACGGTTCATGACCTCAGGATACGATGTCACACAATATACACCAGGTCCCACACTGCTACCACACAGTAACATACCAAATGTGTAGGTGATAGTGTGATCAACGGTTCATGACCTCAGGATACGATGTCAAACAATATACACCAGGTCACACACTGCTACCACATAGTAACATACCAAATGTGTAGGTGATAGTGAGATCAACGGTTCAAGACCTCAGGATACGATGTCACACAATATACACCAGGTCCCACACTGCTGACACATAGTAACATACCAAATGTGTAAGCGATAATGTGATCAACGGTTCATGACCTCAGGATACGATGTCACACAATATACACCAGGTCACACACTGCTGCCACATAGTAACATACCAAATGTGTAAGCGATAATGTGATCAACGGTTCATGACCTCAGGATACGATGTCACACAATATACACCAGGTCACACACTGCTGCCACATAGTAACATACCAAATGTGTAGGTGATAGTGAGATCAACGGTTCATGACCTCAGGATACGATGTCACACAATATACACCAGGTCCCACACTGCTGACACATAGTAACATACCCGTGATGATCCGAGTTAGAATTGATCCCTAGCAACCGATGCTTGTTGTGAGAGGCGATTGTGCTTGTCCTAAAAGGCGACCAACGAGATCTTTTGGTCAGGCTCGTTGACTTGGTTGTTGCATGTCATCGTATCCCAGCTGTGTAGATCGATGATCATGATGTCAAACACTGTTTTCGCCGCACTCAGCAATATTTCATCTATATGACGGCGGTCTGTAAATTATCGAATCTGGACCAAACAATCCAGTGATTGATATCATGAGCATCATCGTATCAGGTATCTGGAATATTGCTGAGTGAGGCGTTAAACAACAAACAAACATAATAACATTTTCCTCGGCTGTTTTGGCGAGAATGGAGTAGTGGGATATATTTTCTCAAGGAATACGTACATGTGTCTTTGTGACTGCTGAACCTAAAAATATATACATGTTGCTTGTGTTAAACCATAAACTATGATTACGTGTATAGAAATCCTGAAACATGGGCGACCAACGAGAATTAAATCTGAAATGTAATTTTCCAAATGTATTTTGAAGAGATGCACCTATCTGACAAAGTGTGTCTGTGTTCCAGTGGAGGAGTCTGTTGTCGGATGTCGGCGGACAGGCTGGACTGTGGCTGGGCTTCTCCCTCCTCACCCTGGCCGAGATTCTCGAACTCATCGTGGACGTTGTCATCCATCTATGCACAAAACCTTTCCGATCAAACAAAGGACGGGTGAATCCAGGCGAGAAAAGGGGCGAGGTGCACTTTTAGAAGTCCATTTGTTGTTTTAGCCGTGATGTCGTCCTAATGACAGTCAATATATTTCTGTACTCAATTACGTGACTTCTACACGAATACGTTAAGATATAATTTCAATACGAATTCACTCTTAAAATCCACCATTTCAACACTAATAATCTATTGCTAAATGCTATCATTTCAACACTAATACTTTTGCACAAAACGCTAATAATCTATTGCTGAATGCTATTGTTTCAACACTAATAATCTTGCACAAATGCGATTATTTCAACACTTATAATCTCAACAAAAGTCATGATTTCAACAATAATACTTTGCAGTGAGCCATGAGTTCAACGCTAATGCAAGTACACATGTGTCATGTTTTCAAAACTAATACTAACATTTTCTATAAATAATGAGATTGCTTTAGCTTTGCTAGATATTGTCAGAGTGAAGACGGGGACTGAAGCTTCATGATGTTGTTCAACAATCATTTGATCGTGCCATAGGTTTGCCGAAATTCCAGCTTTGATTCAAGTCATACAAAACTAAATACTAGTAGTTACACATTACTTTGTTAGTGTCCTTACTTTACTATACAGCGGCGTGTGTCTGTGTCTTCTGTGTGTATGTGTGTGTGAATTGAGGTTTATTGAATCCACATACGTGTTTTGAAATAAAGCACACCCTTGCCCCCAAACCCGTACCCCCGCCCGAACCAACGCACACATGCACACACACGTACACGCACGCACACACACACGCACACGCACACACACGCACATATCCTTTTGTTTCTAAAGAACGCAGATCTTGACATTTTTCAGTTTGCTAAAACACACTTTGGATCTATTTTACAATGACATATTGGCATGTTAGTATTAAATCGCTGTGAACAAATACTGCACTACTTGTGATTATAAGTGATTTCAAACTTTAGTCAAACAACATATTTGATTAGCGTGGATAGGTTACCTTCAAAACGTTCTAAACAATCGACATTTTACGAAAACAAATTTTGCTGTCAACATGTTGGCACATCTTGACAAAACCGTTTGAGAATAATAAGGAAACAAAATTTGCATGTGACTACAGATAAATCGCCAATGTTAAAAACATAAATCAAAGAAAAGATATAATGTTTAAATGTTTTCAAATAATGATTACAACACTGCAGTCATGAAAATCCTATGCATCAAATATTGACAGTTTGGAATAAGCAGTCTACCTCATAACAGCAGATGTCTTACACTAAAATACCTCAGAGACCAGGATAAACAACACAGTGAACATAGAAATATACTGGAGTTTCATCAGAACCATTTCCGGAGCGACTTTATGCGCTGGGCGATATCTCATGTTTTCATATCACGGTCTACATTTCTGTGTTATTCTACGTGATTAAAATAGCTGTCTGAACAGTTATCATTGTTGACTTATTAATTTATAAGAATTGCCTTCAAATATTGGTTTTGTTTGATGGATCTATAAATGTAGGAGACCGGTGCGCACGCGGATTTACACAGTGTGGACGCAACGTTTATGCCTCTTTTAACAAATAAAATCCCATTGTCATTTCATAGAAATACTGTCCACGTGAATTAAAAAAAGAGAAAACATTAGCCGGACATAAATATGTTCTGTGTCTAAAAAAAGACTCACGACTTCTCCTAAATTTCAAATGTTTCGTCCCCTACTGCTGTACCAGTTGGTGATGCGCCCCTCACATAATGTGCATTAAAAAACAACAAATATTTGTTCCTGGGGACGCACAGCAGTACTCCTGCCATGCGACAGTGGTCTGTAAACAATGTGATCTCTGGACAAGACAATCCAGTGACACGATTTTGCTGAAATGATATATAAATGTAATTTGCTTTGTCGTAGAGTGTATGATACATCCTTTCCATGTTTTGCACAACGACACAAACATTGATTCTAAAATTTTGCACCAATTAATCATATTTCCTCATAGCGATTTCGGTGTTACAACGGTATTTCGCTGCCGTCATGAAACATGAAATAGTCATCCAGGATTCAGTAAAGGGATGTTTACGTAGATGCTACCGAGCATGTTTCTGCCTTTCAGTATAACAATAACGTTTGATCTTGAGCATGAAGCAAGAGTTTGGGTGAGGTGAAATTGGACTAATCGTCGCCTTCAAGATCATTGCACTTATACAGCGACATGTCTAGTGCATGCTTTGTACAAGTCAAGAATGATGCCGGTTTTATATATAGTGCTAGCCCACTGATATACCATGCAAAATCATTACGCCAATAAAACACAGCATACTGACTGCGAGCTGACCAGTTCTTATCCCCTAATGCCTAGCACAAGGCAGGGTAATAACAAGTTTTAACGTTCTTTTGGTATCACGCGACCTGTGATCGAACCACCGACCTTCAACTCTCCAGGCAGACGCTCTCTATCCACAAGTCCACGGAAGCGATCTGCATGAAGCAAGTTTGGACACAGATCTATGTACACGATAAAAACCGAAACTACATTGATATTGAATAATGGGACATAATGAATTGACAATGATGAATAGAAAAGTCATCAAACTTTATCTTTCTAAATTGATAGGTGTGCGGACTGACGGAGTCACAACGTCTACTCGACATGAATGACTTCTGTACAAGTTAAATATATTCATAGAATTCAGAAAACCCGGTTAGATATAGTAATATACACAATTATCGTAGAACCATCCAATATAGATGTCCATTGTGTGTCAGATTAACTGCCTCATTCCTTATGAGCCATATCACTGGAGGTGGTCATCAGTAGGTCAAGTGTTGCCTGTCAGTAGTCAGCGTCAGAGTTGTTAAGTGTTCAGATACGGAACTCATCTGCGGTCAGCATTCAGTGACCACCGTTTGGCGAAGCAACGCAGAAACTTGGCGCATTAAAGTAAAGGCCCTCTGCGTTATAGTGTAGCTGTAGAATTCCTTAATGAGGCTAGGCGTCATTGTCTCTTTTTCATCTGAAACAGCAAACCCATGTATATGTAATGCAGGTATTGACAGCATCGTAGCTAAAATATATATCGAGAAGGTAGCAGAACAAAGAACTATGCTGCCTCCACGATACACGAAGCATCATCGTTCAAATATGGTTACATTTTTCTTGGAACTGAACTGAAATGTAAACTGTCATTATATTCTACTACATTAAGGGAAATTAAGGGACACATTGCTCTATTTGAGAGGCTGCATGTAAAGAAATGGAATGAATCGTTGAATCTAATTTTTCATCGGTGTCAGACAACAGAACTACAATATCAAAAATATCACGTTGTAAAGGTGTCCTTTGGGTTTAAATTCCAATAAAGCAATCATCATTTATATTATTGGGTTTTAATCCGCAAGAGTAGTGATTCAAGTGAACCCAAAAATTATAAACATAGGGTGTGAGTGAGGGAGAGAGTATGGATTAACGCCGCTTTTAGCAATATTCCAGCAATATGACGGCGGGGGACACCGAAAAATGGGCTTCAAACATTATACCCATATTGGGAATCGAACCTGGGTCTTCGACGTGACGAACCAACGCTTTAACCACCAGGCTACCCCACTGCCCCTATAAACATAGGGACATAGGTACACAGGTAGAGTGGTGGTACAAATTAAACCAATATAGAGAATTATGTATATAAACCGAGGGACACAGGTAGAGTGGTGGTTCAAATGAAACCAATGTAGATATGTGTATAAACATAGGGACACATATAGAGGGGTGGTACAAATGAAACCAATACATATATATGTGTATAAACATAGGGACACATATAGAGGGGGGGGTACAAATGAAACCAATACATATATATGTGTATAAACAGAGGGACACAGTTAGAGAGGTGGTACAAATGAAACCAATATTGATACGTGTATAAACATAGGGACACAGGTAGAGGGGCGGTACAAATGAAACCAATATAAATATGTGTATAAACATAGGGACACATATAGAGGGGTGGTACAAATGAAACCAATATAAATATGTGTATAAACATAGGGACACATATAGAGGGGTGGTACAAATGAAACCAATACATATATATGTGTATAAACAGAGGGACACAGTTAGAGAGGTGGTACAAATGAAACCAATATAGACATGTGTATAAACAGAGGGACATGGGTAGAGAGGTGGTACAAATGAAACGAATATAGATTCGAGTAAAAACATTGGGACACAGGTAGAGAGGTGGTACAGATGAAACCAATATAGAGAATTATGTATATAAACAGAGGGACACAGGTAGAGTGGTGGTTCAAATGAAACCACTATAAATATGTGTATCAACAGAGTGACACAGGAAGAAGGGTGGTACAAATGAAACTAATATTGATATGTGTATAAACATAGGGACACAGATAGAGGGGTGGTACAAATGAAACCAATATAAATATGTGTATAAACATAGGGACACATACATGTATAGAGGGGTGGTACAAATGAAACCAATATAAATATGTGTATAAACAAAGGGACACATATAGAGGGGTGGTACAAATGAAACCAATACATATATATGTGTATAAACAGAGGGACACAAATAGAGAGGTGGTACAAATGAAACCAATATAGACATGTGTATAAACAGAGGGACACGGGTAGAGAGGTGGTACAAATGAAACCAATATAGATTCGAGTATAAACATTGGGACACAGGAAGAGAGGTGGTACAGATGAAACCAATATAGATATGTATATAAACAGAGGGGCACAGGTAGAGGGTGGTACACATGAAACCAATATAGATATGTATATAAACAGAGGGACACAGGTAGAGGGTGGTACACATGAAACCAATATAGATATGTAATAAACAGAGGGACACAGGTAGAGGGGTGGTACAAATGAAACCAATATAGATATGTGTATAAACAGAGGGGCACAGGTAGAGGGTGGTACAAATGAAACCGATATAGATATGTGTATAAATATAGGGACACAGGTAGAGTGATGGTACAAATGAAACCGATATAGATATGAGTATAAACAGAGGGGCAAAGGTAGAGGGTGGTACAAATGAAACCGATATAGATATGTGTATAAACAGAGGGGCACAGGTAGAGGGTGGTACAAATGAAACCGATATAGATATGTGTATAAATATAGGGACACAGGTAGAGGGGTGGTACAAATGAAACCAATATAGATATGTGTATAAACAGAGGGGCACAGGTAGAGGGTGGTACAAATGAAACCGATATAGATATGTGTATAAACATAGGGACACAGGTAGAGGGGTGGTACAAATGAAACCAATATAAATATGTGTATAAACATAGGGACACATATAGAGGGGTGGTACAAATGAAACCAATACATATATATGTGTATAAACAGAGGGACACAGTTAGAGAGGTGGTACAAATGAAACCAATATAGACATGTGTATAAAGAGAGGGACACGGGTAGAGAGGTGGTACAAATGAAACCAATATAGATTCGAGTATAAACATTGGGACACAGGTAAAGAGGTGGTATAGATGAAACCAATATAGATATGTATATAAACAGAGGGGCACAGGTAGAGGGTGGTACAAATGAAACCAATATAGATATGTATATAAACAGAGGGACACAGGTAGAGGGGTGGTACAAATGAAACCAATATAGATATATGTATAAACAGAGGGAAACAGGTAGAGTGATGGTACAAATGAAACCAATATAGATATGTGTATAAACAGAGGGAAACAGGTTAAGTGGTGGTACAAATGAAACCAATATAGATATGTGTATAAACATAGGGAAACAGGTGGAGGGGTGGTACAAATGAAACGAATATAGATATGAGTATAAATATAGGAAGACAGGTAGAGTGATGGTACAAATGAAACCAATATAGATATGTGTATAAATATAGGGACACAGGTAGAGTGATGGTACAAATGAAACCATTAAAGATATGTGTATAAACAGAGGGACACAGGTAGAGGGGTGGTACAAATGAAACCAATATAGATATGTGTATAAACAGAATGACACAGGTAGAGGGGTGGTACAAATGAAACCATTATAGATATGTGTATAAACGGAGGGACACAGGTAGAGGGGTGGTAAAAATGAAACCATTATAGATATATGTATAAACAGAGGGACACAGGTAGAGGGGTGGTACAAATGAAACCAATATAGATATGTGTATCAACGGAGGGACACAGGTAGAGGGGTGGTACTAATGAAACGAATAAGATATGTGTATAAACATGGTGATACAGGTAGAGGGGTGGTACAAATGAAATGAATATAGATATGTATATAAACAGAGGGACACAGTTTGATGGGTGGTACAAATGAAACCACTGACAATGTATGAGTATGAACATTGGGACACATACGCCATGAGTGGGATCAGAGGGATTCCTGGCCCTCCTGCCTCTGCAAATGTCATGTCCCAGCAGCACCACCACACAAAGTCCACCTTATGACCATGAAACACCTGGCCGACCTTCCCCTTGGCTCTCTGTACCACCTGCCTCCCGCTGTACTTCTGTCCCGCACTGAAATAAAGTACGGAGTGAGTACATGTACACACATGTTGTAAGGTTGTTTCCCCTCCCTGTCTTCTGCCCTCCATGTAAGAGTTGTGTCCATAACATAACCAAACCATGCCCATCTACTGATTATCTGTGAACATGTGCGGCATAGATTACAGCTGTAGCTCAACATGTCACTAATTACATACTGTCAGGATATTTTTATATACAATCTACCTGTGAATTGAGACCAATATATACAACACTGAAACTAGAGTGCTAATGTGGGCAACAGTACATGTACTGCCGCTTCAACCAATATTGTTCTTTAAACTCAAACGGACCACAGCCAGGAGAAAGATCGATTGTTATTGTGATGCACTACCATGGGAAAACGTGTGTATTCCTTAATTTGCTGAAACATATTTATTTACAAAATATATACAATCTCCCGTTAGTTAATACATTACTCTGATATTATGCATATGATAATAATATACTTGTTAGTAAATGTCTGGGGAAATAAATGAAACTGATACAGGCAGTAGACCTTTACAACTTTTGTTAACAAGGGCGGCCTGAAGTTAGAGGGTACAGGCGACAGTATCATATAAAGAAACTGCCAGTAGACGTCTCCACATCTAGCGCAGGGACCCCTGGGTCTGTTACTCGGCATTTCTCAGAATCACTGTTCGGTGTTAACCTGACCATTGATTAACCTTAGCATGAATGTGTATATTAAAGCCGTCATAGTTCACACAATGTTTATATTGGGCCATGCGTTGATTATGTACAACGTTGTACGCAAACTGATAAATTGAATTGCATTTTTTATTGTATTTTGTGCTGGACAACATTCAACATCATGACAAACTGATGTAATATCGAACATGCTTGATGTTAGAATAAATGTCCAAATATATCCTGCCTTTGTTAAGCAATCCAACATTGATGCCTTCAAACAAACAAAATACTTTAATAACAGTTAATAAATATCTAAATATTACCCTGCTTCTATCAATGACTCCAACATTGATGCGTTTAGACTACAGGCGGTTAATAGATACTAACATAACAGAATAAATATATTTCCTACAGATGTAATGACAAAACAAAATGTAATATTCTTACACAATCACGTAAGATATGATGATAATTATATGATTAGGCGTATTTCATATTGTTACGGATATAAAGATAGTTCTTGATGACGTTTGAACATCAACCTATTACCTGGGAGCAAGGATTGCCAATGCTTTACAATCAGCTCCGTCACCTTAGGCTGACCGTCCACATGAAACTGACATGCAACGATCATACTGTTCAAAGCAGCGATGGAACATTCATTCAGACTTATCATTACATCATCTTACATTACTTGCCATGGCAAAATAATGTGCTCATTATATTGATTATGTATTCAATCATACAAACCTTGATATTAGTCAGAGAGCACGTGGTATTCGTGTGCATATTTTTGATAATGGTACAAGAAGAAATAAATATGTTTTTTTTGGTAAAACATTTCCCATTGTGTGATGTGTTTCAAAGTGGGATTAATATGATTAATAATTGGGGACTGATCTCCATTCAAAGGAACAGATAAGATAGCTATGCGAACGTTACATGAAAGTACACCCATAGCTGTCAAGAAGACAGATGAACAATATTCACAAGGTTGACATTAAAAGTAATTAAGAATAACACCAGTTTCACCTTGTTGTAACGCATGCAGTTTGTCATATAGTTTAACAGGCCCGATCAATCTAGCATACAGAGTAATAGAAACTCAATGAAAATCATAAACACCCACATACAGCGCCACTAAATGCAATATTGAAGAAGAATTTTGATGCCTAGGACTTGTTGAATTTGCTTAAATCAGAACATACAATCAGGTAGATTACACAACTGTAGTGACGAGCATACATCATGTGATCGTCGCACTTACATATATGGCCCTGAAGTGAAAGGTTCCTCCACATTTATTGGTTCTAGGACGATCTTCCCAGTCTTCTCATCCCGAATGATATTCATCCCGTCTCCTGCAATACACACCTAGAGGTAGGTCACATGTCTACACACTGCATACAGTCATGGAGGGGTGACCAGCTATTGTGAGAGTGAAATATTAGAAACTAAATATCTCGTATACATTTAGACTGGCATACTTGGTAATAGTAACATAGTCTCGTAGAATCAGGTAACTGAAAAAGGCAATCATCTAGTTTGATCTCGGAGAATCAAAAAGGGTTATCTTAAAATTACTACTATCACTGTATTCAAGCCTCTGACACTAAGAATCCTGTACTGATGATAGTGAGTGAGGGTTTACATCACTGAAGCAGTATTTAAGCAATAAAAGGACTTAATGATCAGTCATTACGTTTGATCTTCACACACTGTACTTAAATAACAACGTAAAATAACATAAGACTTCAATGTCTTTAATTACTTTAACTACCCCTATACCCAACTTGTTCGTATGTGTTGTGGACATAGAAAAAAGGGTTTTCCCGTATTTCGAACGATTTGCAATTCAAAGTTTGTCCGTCTCAAGCTGTTGACAGTCTGAACAATACACGCTCATTTAGTCCAGGATGAAGCAGTGAGATATCTCTGATATTTATATATTTATATTTAGGTGATTATTAGTAGCAAGGTAGTACATACCGAATGTGGCATTTGTTGTCAGAAATACGTTTGTACCCGCATTACATTACCTCAACACCCCCACAGTATTACATACCACAGCGACCACACTGGGGAAAAGATGCTTCAACTATATCAGTTAACACTGGGCCATGTATCCAAACAGTAACAAAGTTCTACAAGCAGATGCTAGTGGGTCATATCACGCTATTTCACTAAAGATCGATCACAGACTATTTGGGATTTTATTTTTAAAAATCACCATTAAGGTAGGTAATACACAATATTCGGTATCATTTTCTATGAGTGGACAACCTCCATGGTTTAGTGGATGGATCATCTGCCCCGAGAGCGGAAGGTCGGTGACTGTCCCATGGCCTCGTCACATCAAAATAGTGTATCCTGTCTGGTGCCCGGTATTAAGGGGAAAAAAGCTAGGACTAGTCAGACTGGAGTCAGTATACATGTACTGTGTCTGAGTTGGGTATACATGTTAGTCTGCAGCATGATATCTCAGTTGGCTGAATCTGTAAAACCGTCATTTATTAGTCCGGCCTAGTATACACAGCGTTCATGCATGTCATGCGACATTAAAACCAAATTTCACTACACCTTAATTGTCACTTGTCAGTAGTGAGTCATTAAATGTATGTCAATAAAGCGCCACCAGAGATATAGAGGCAGTTTTATAAGATATTCTATCTCACCTGCATAGATAGACAAAACTAATGTTTTGTCAAAAAACACCACATCGCCCAGCTGCAGTTCTCTCCCCGTACTGTCTAAAAGTCTCACACTGGTAGTCGTGTGCACAGTGGAAGTTGATCTCAGGTCACGTGATGCATCTGCAAAACCGATTCATGTACATATAATGCTACTTCTTTTAACCAACAAAACCTTGCTGCTAAACGATAGGCAATACGCATTACTCAAGTAGAATATAAAATAAAGGTAATCATAAGTGTGGAAATCTGTGTATGACAAGTAATTGATTCAGTCTCACTTTTAAAAGTAATCAAAGTCTATTTAATTTCACTGAAGGCATGAGCAATTGTGGAACTAAACTGAATTCATTCTGTTGGAGAACAGCCACACTTCCTTTCTCATATTAGTATGTTGGTTGGTTGATTGGTTGGTTTGTTGTTTAACGCCGCACTCAGCAATATTCCAGCATTATGACGTAAATAATCGAGTCTGGACCAGACAATCCAGTGATTAATATCATGAACATTGATCCACGAAATTGGAATCGACGACATGCATCAACCAAGTCAGCGAGCCTGACCACCCGATCCCGTTAGTCGCCTTTTACGACAAGCATAGTCACCTTTTACGGCAAGCATGGGTTGATGAAGACCTATTCTACCACGGAATCTTCACGGGTCTATTAGTATGTAAAACCCCATTCACGTCGTCTTGTGTATTGACTGAGTGAGTCAGTCAACTTGACCAGTATTTAATAAGGTCACAGTGTGTCTTTAGTTTTGTATGGTGAACATTACCTTGTGTCACATCATGTTCCTCTGTTGGATGACACTGTTTGCAATTGTTGTGGACGTGGGTGATGTTGGTGATGTGGCAGTTGCTATAATAGATGCTGTTGTTGTCGCCGACCTGCATTCCCCCCTGCTGTGTGTCCATCACTAACGTTGTCGACGGTCTGACGGCCATGACTCTGATAAGAAATATTCAAAAATATGCCGAACATTCCTGCATAGTAACTGTAAACTATTTACTCACAAATTCAGGCACCTGATGCATGCTCGTCGCCGATCTGTTCTATGACCCTAAACTATTTATACACAGTGGCGCCATCAAGAAGTATACTCTTTGAGAGAAACATATTTGAAAATACGCGGATTCATACAGTTTGCACATTGGTTTTTCGATTCATACTTCAATGAACCGAAAAAAATACACAGTCAATCCTTAAGGGTATCGAGGTTAAGCTTCACCCGGTGGGCCATCCCAGTTCCCCTTTAATTAGAGCATGTAGGAGGTACATGACTGAGTTATCTCCCTTAAGTCAAATTCTGTATGTAGACAACATGTATTAATTTCTAGGACAAAGACATTTTTCAATAGGATCAAATTCTCGTCTAAAATACAAATAAGGTAAACCAATAACGTCGGTCATGGAATATAAACAATTACATTATGAAGACCACTGATCGAATCAATAGTCCATCAATATTGACTGACGTGAACAGCCTCCACACCTCTCCAGTGTTTGACAACAGACACACAAGTGGTTCCTAAAACATGATTTGTTAGCTCATAGGATGTACATGCATGTTTCACCTGGACAGTTCATAAGGGGAATCACCTACACACGAACACGTGACACGCGATTAGATTTGTGACAAGAGCATGCGTCATACAATTACAGAGCTTGGCTCCAGCTTGACACACACAGAAGACAGAACAGGGAGTGTAGGGTAGGCCACTGGGGCGTGTTTTGGCTCGTCACGGTACTTGCTGCTTTAATCAAACAAAGTCAAGGAGGCCGGACACACTGCAAGTGATCACTGTGACTGGTGTTCACGAGTGAGTGGGTGATTTGGGTTTAACGTCGTTTTTAACAGTATTCCAGTGATATCGCGGCGTGTCAGCTTAATGTGGGAGGAAAGACCGAAGTGATGCAGGTCTCAGACGTTTGCCACATTGGTGAAACCCACGAGCACGGGTATGGTGCTGACAAACCTTGAAACATAATCGGGGCGAACCGAGATTCGAACCCAAAGTCATAGGTTTCTGGCGTGTGCAAGGGACGCAACTCTACGCAGCAAATCGCGGCGATTCAGACGACTGGATCACCCGTGCCCCCGAGTATTCAGGGGTTGGTCCTTCATTACCACACAAAGGGTATAACCTACCGACATACATTTCACATCGACAGTTTATCATTTACTCAGTGTTCCTGTTTTGTGAAATATATGATAATGTTGGTGTTCTTTCAGTGTAGGGGCGGTCGGGTAGCCTAGTGGTTAAAGCGTTCGCTCGCCACGCCGAAGACTCCGGTTCGATTCCTGACATGGGTACAATGTGTGAAGTCCATTTCTGGTGTCCCCCGCCATGATATTGCTGGAATATTGCTAAAAGCGGCGTACAACCATACTCACTCACGCACTCCTTCAGGGTAAGACTATTGACCTCCAGCTACCCGTGCTTGTAGTAAGAGGCGGCTAGGTTCATCTGGTGGTCAGGTTCGATGACTTTTTTTTTCCATCGAACCAACACTTGCATTTGATGACGTTCCCCTGATATATATTCATTATGAATCTGATGCTAGAACTCATGTTCGAATCTCAGATATTTCCATTCCTTATACATGTATGTGTTTTAATAAATAGACACGTTTAATCAGAAGATTTCTTGCTTTCATTCTTTTCAACCTCGATCCCTCGCTCAATGATGGAGCCCGTTACTTAAAGGTCCTAACACAGTGCCTCCATATAACATCAAAATAAAGGTCAGTGATATTGGGATGTTAAGCAGAATGCATGATAAACAATGTGTTACTTTTGTATCATTCAGTATTTAGAAAAATAAAAGTAGAAACAATAAATTACTTTTGTGTCAATACTGATGTCAATACTGATGTCAATACTGATCAGGAAGAACAGTTGTCCACAACACAGCAGTTGGCAGTGTAGAGTTGCCTCCCTTACACTGGAAGTAAACCTGTGATCGAGTCACTTCGGGCTTTCCTCACACAGAGTAAGCTGATAGGCCGTGATATGACTGACTGTGGACAACTGCGTTGAACCAAATTTCACTCACTCACTCACTTCTTTATACAATAGGCTTTACAACATGAAATTTGCATTGGGTTCAATAAGTTTCATAGTTAGTCTTCGTTCTTATATGAACTATATAGTGGGATTCTATCACATTATGTGTATTCAATAATGCCAGGGTATATCACAGAACGACTCGGCAGTATCCGACAGGTAGGTACCGTTGTATACCTTCAAGGAGCTGAGAATGTCAGTTTAAAATTTCACTACTCCACTGAAGGGGTCATGATGTCATGAGCCTTGATTAACTGAGTGAGTATAGTTTTTACGCTGCTTTTAACACTATTCCAGCAATATCACGGCGTGAGACGCCAAAAAGGGGCTTCACTCATTGTACCTTGGTCGGGATTCGAACCTGTGCTTTCGTTGTGAGGAGCGAACGCTTTAACTACAAGGCTACCCCACCACCATTTTCATACGCTTTAAACACGCCCCTCTATGCCTTGGAGTTATTCGCCTTATATCTTATATTCCATTCATCATTATATCCGGGGAGATAGGAATAGGTATAACACAAGCATGAGGTCTGATGTCAAGAAAGTGTGAACAATACTTGCACCCTACATATTTCCAAGACGACACTGAATGCAGATACTAGGAATATAAATGTCTCAGATTGATAAGGCGACATGTCAAATGTCTTTGTATAAACGGGTGTTAAGTCATATCCTAGTGTCTGACTTCCTACTTAAAGCAATGTATTAAAGTGAATGGAACGGACAAACCAGTGACTGAAAGGACGTGTAAAGCTCCACGTCATCGGGGCACGAGGACACGCAATGAATCAAGTCACATAGCCTGACCACCCTGCTATCACTATTTACACACATACACATACACCCACGTGCCTCCAAACATGATAGTGAGTGAGTGAGTATGGTTTTACGCCGCTTTTAGCAATATTCCAGCAATATCATGGCGGGGGACACCAGAAATGGGCTTCACTAAATGTACCTATGTCGGGAATCGAACCCGGATGAGCGAACGCTTTAACCACAAGGCTATCCGACCGCCCCGCATCCGTACAAAATCATACACACCTACATACCTGCATCTATACTTATGTACATGTATAAAGTATATGGTTTTGTGAAATAATAATGTATGTCGAGGCGTGTAAATGTTCGGCAGTGTGTAGCTGCCTTCTTATCTTAGGACTCAATATTGACAACCAGCGACCCGGAAGTAATATACAGGTAAGTTACCTCCCTTTAGTTGTACAAACCATTATTTAGTCTATTTATAGACACAGCAAAGAACTATCTTTACAGCTTTCGTCATTTTACGAAGGATCAAATACATGTCCGAAAAACACAGAAAACTAAAAAAACATGTACTTTTTACTCTGAGCACGGACATTTATATTATCATCGTCAATGTATCGAACCACTGCGTCCATGTAATCGTTGAAAACGAGGACAGACTCCATACTCCCCTGTGGTTGACAACATGTCGGCCTGGCGTTCCTGATATACGGTTACTTTTGCCGACCCTAGACGACACGAGTTGCATACAGAGAGTACCATGACGCATAAGGATGATATTACTTACTCGGTTGACGTAAATAAGTGCAGACTCGTCACAGCAGCAGCCCTATCTGTTGTGCTTGTTTTTCACCTCACTGATCACGTGATGCTTTTGCTGAGAAGCTATTGGCTCAATAGACAATGGATATTGCACACGAGCATGAAAAATGCATCCCAACAACAAGCAATGATTGTTATTGATACAGAACGACGGCTGACTGCACAACTGATTTAGGGATATGATTTTGAATTGCCACTACACGAGAATGTTACTAGCTCCGGTTATTTGCAATGCTTATATATATTGCTTCATATTAGAGCCACAGAGCAGATACATTCGTATGATGCTCAAATTCTCAATTTCTTGAATATGAGCTGGGTAAGATTTTGATTGTTCTGCATTATGAAAGAAAATATTTTTTAAAGTTTAAAATCAGTTAATTGAAACACGGAACAGGCGATAGTCCTACAAACAAGCCAAGCAGTACAAATATCACAAGTTATGTGCCAGATGTACGACAGTCGTCACTCTCACACAGCTTCGAAACCATGTCCACAGCAAGGGGCTGAGAATGTCACGGACCCACTGGAAGGGGTTATAATGACATGCGCTTTGAACATCCACGCCTCATGTCTGCTTTCTTTGCTCAAGAAACCATCAAAGTGCATGTTGTTAAACGCCGCAGTTAGCAATATTCTAGCCAAATAACTTCGGCCGGGAAATAACCAAGACTGGATAAAGGAAACCTGTGAATGAAAGCATATCCAAACTATCCATTTCAGTCGTCTCATCTCATAAGCACCGGTTAAGAGGGACAATATTTCCCCAATATCCTTAGAGTAAGAAACATTAAAAAAGCATGTTATCTAAGAAAACGCTACCACATTAAGACACACACGCACACGCACACGCACACGCACACACACACACACACACACACACACACACACGCACGCACACACACACATACACACACACACACGCACGCACGCACGCACGCACGAGCCAACACATGAAGATCAAGGTCTTCAGCAACCAATGCTTGTCGTAAGAGATAGCGAACCAGATCGATGCATGTCATCGTATCTGGTCTTGACTCGATTATTTAAAGACCGCCGTCATATAGCTGGAATAGTGCTGCATAAAACAGCAATCAAACAGCCATGTTAGCTCCACACAGCGATAACACGTTCCCAGTGCTCTCTTCACAGAGCTACAGACTGACCAATAGTGTTTTCCTTATAGATTCCTGATTCGGAGAATACAACACTAAGAACTTTTACATAATGTACACGAATCGCTTTCAAAATTGTGTACTTATATTTATATTAGATGTAGTTTCTATAATCATTTAACAATTTTCTATGGACTTATCGGGTTGGAATCACCACGAGAGTACGGATTTTTGGCCGGGTAAAAATTATCGGTCCGGTTTTCAGCTCGATTATTATTTTTTATTGTTCTGGCACGATCTAAAATATATATAGTCGTAGATGAAGGCAGATTGTCTTAGGAAGTGAATCTCGCTGCATTAGATCACGACGTATGCATTTTACTGAAGAATATTAAGTGCGATGCAGATTTGGGTCGGGGATCTATAAGGAAAACACTATGGGACAGCAAGTAGCTGTGTGAAGCGAGAAGTCAATATCGTTTATGGGGAGCAGCACTGAGATACGGTTACCCCAGCTGTCTCGAACCCATCTGTTACACAAACAAACGTAAATTCATCTGGGAAATAGCAAGTCAAACGTAAAACTGTTTTCCGACTCTCTAGAACGGCATTCCCACACACATAAAAAAATGTCACTACATTAGACGTTAAAAGGAAATGCTTCACATGATTGTAATGGACAGTTGCACACTGGTGACATTGATGATACCGGGAAGGTTACCAAGGTGTCACGAGCTGGGAAAGAGCTTGATACAAATTATTTTTAACTCACCTTACATTAAAATACTAGCTACTGATTAAAATACTAGTTAATGATTGGTTGGGCTTATTATTTTGCATATTGCCGGCTAGTGAAGCCCGCTGAGAAATCAATCGTAACGCATCTTAGGTAACTTGCTTATCTCGTATAAGTATCGTTGAGCTGAAATGAACCGATGTTTGTACGACTGCGTTGGGTAAAGGGAAGTTAATGGGTTCGTTTGCGTCGTTTGCAAGCTGTCAAAATGGCTGAATCAAAGCGTTTACTCAGTTAAACTTCGGACATATATTCCGGATCTGTATGAATGAATATCGGCTTGGATACATAAGCTCACACGCGGGGTACATCTTGGGGTACATGGTCTTACATATACTCACGCGCAGGTTAAATCACACCTATACCCCTCGAGATCGGTTGACAGCTTGTAATGTTATTGTCTATTTATAGACACAGCACATAACTACCGTGTTGACATCGTCATTGTTACGTAGGATCAAATACTTATCTTAAATACACAGTAAAAGTATAACTGTGTACGTTTAACACTGAATACAATCATTTGGATTACGAGTATCATTTATCGATCCATTCGTCCATCTGAACTATACAGTATATATGAAAGTACCAGCTGAGTACAGCTTCCATGTCCGCCCTGTTGTCGACAACTGACGCCTGCTGTGATGACTGGTGACGACACAGGATGACTTATTATGGATACAGAGTTTATAATGATGTATTGTGATGATGGTACTTACTCAGTTGATGTAATTAACTGCAGATTTTGCCACAGTTCCTCCACCTGTATTACCTTTGTTTTGTACCTGGTATTCACGTAATGGGGAATACTCTTCCAGATCACGCGGTGCGTTAAATGTCCAAGTATTGGCTTAAATCTCACACAATCCACGCATCACTCTAGCTCAGACTGTCATCCTAACGACAAGCCCTGCAAGTACGAGTGTTGTCTGCTGGTGGTACAACATATTTAGCCACACCATATCAAGTTGTCACTGGCTTTACATATTCTTTTTAAAAATAATCGCCAACGTTTCTTGTGTTCTTTCATTACACGCAACTATACATTGCTCTCCTATCATACCAACAGAGCAGAAGTTCTTTAGATTCTTTCGTATCTTATGCTCTTATGCTCACATACAGCAACAAGAGACACAACTCGTCATACTCTCTTACAGCTCGTCGAAAGCTCAGCTCTTAATTCATACTGTTAAATTACTACTTATAATTGTTTTTGTTTTTTTGGTAGACTTTCCAGTTCTCTGGATCTTCTTGCAAAATAAATACTGACATAAAGTTTCCATAGCAATTGGCATTGTCAGAAATGCAAGGATATCAGAAACAGTCAGCGAGGCTGGACATTCATTGAGGGAAGTGATCCGAATTAGGTTGTTTTTTCTAAGGACTGATGCCGAATGTTGGAACCTATCTTACTCGTCCACTGAACTGAGCAATGGGGCAGCATCATTCAATAAATACATATAGGGCAGGGACATAGAAAAGCTTTCTTCCAATCACTCTATCACAGTATGAATGTAGGAATCCATTATGACGTCACAAGACCTGAATATACAGGAAGATGGGGGAGCAATCCTCATTTATCAGGATTGGTCATCATGTAATTATACGCACGCAAACTCACACACACACATTCGCGCTTATATGCACACTCTCTCTCACTCTCACTCTCTCTCTCTCTCTCTCTATCTCACACACACACACACACACACACACACACACACAGACACACACACTGACACTACCAGTTTCCTCAGTACTCTCCATTACTTCTCTGTTAGAGTTTATTACAGGAAACGTTCTCTGTTATGAAAAAAATATATGTCACAGATTGACAAAGCGAAAGGTGTTTGAAGTAAGTTATCTCCCTTTAGTTGTACAAGCCATTATTCATAGTCTATTTATAGATACAGCACATCACTGCCTTACGTAGGATCAAATACATGTCCGAAATTCACAGAAAACCAAAAATCTGTACACTGAACACGAACATTTAGATTATTATCGTCAATTTATCGAATCACTGCGTCCATCTGATCTCAACAGACGAGGAAAGATTCCATATCCCTCCTGTGTTTGCCAACAGACGTGTCTGGCGCTCCTGAAACTTGATGTCGTTACTTATACTGACTCTAGACCACACAAGATACAAACAGAAGGTAGGATGACGTATTATAGTGGCATTACTTACTCGGTTGATGTGATTAACTGCAGGATCTTCTTCTGCCTGTATTACCTGTGTTTTGTGCCTGGAAGGGGGATCCCCTATACACCAGATCACGTGGTGCGTTTACCGATCAGCTATTGGCACAAATCTCACACAAGACATATTGCACACCTGTGCAGACGTTTATCCCAACAACAAACTTTGCAAAGACGTTTGTTTTTACTGATTTAGCGACATGATTCCAAATTGCAACTACCCCAGAATGTTACAAGCGTTATGCTATTGACAGTGCCCACATATATTGCTTTCATATCAGAGACATAGATTAGATTGCTTACATGGTTGATTAACTGATATTTACATAGTTTATTCAACACGCTGAATCCGGCTGAATATTGTCTCGTATATTTCTCAATACTCCGTTTTTCAGTCTTTTGGGTATGAGCTAGGTAGCTGACACTAATGCTACACAGTAAATATATTTATATTGTTTTATTTCGGATTAAATGACATCATTTACTGATAAGTATGTCTCATTTCCCTAAATGAATACTCTCTGTAAAAATTTTGATGGTTTCACTGTATGACAAAAACATTTAAAAACATCAAAAGTTTAATATCAGTTAATTGAAATATAATGGCGGCCATAGTTCCACCAACAATTCCAACAGTACAAATATTACAAGTTATGCACAGGATATACGAAAGTAGTAGCTCAAACATAGCCTAGGTCAATTTCACACCCTGTCGCAATCTCTAGATCTGCTCTCAATTCACACTGATGTGAGATTATAACTCGTTGTGCTCATGGGTACGAGACTACCCATAGTTTGAATAGGTTTACAGATCAGTTTCTGACTTGGCGACATATTGCAGCTCCACCGTCGTTAATGCATGTTTTGTGTTTATATAGAACCTGTCATTGACGAGATGATGGCGAAGAATATAATGTTTGCTTAGCTATCGACATTGTCACTGATGTCGGATACCAGATAAGTCAACATTCTGGATGCCAACTTCATATTTAATCATATATCTGCAGCACAGAAGGATGTTCAATAGGAATAGGATTGCCATAGAAAGTATGATTTCGATACATATTGAATAAACATGACAGACACTTGTGATGGGATCCGCTCATTTCTTTATGGATTCGGAGAAGTATAAAAACAAAACGTTAACCGACTAGCACTTTACCCAGACTTCAGTTCACCCCGTCCTCTGGACGGACGCAACAGGTGATGGAGACCACATATGACTTGGCGACACATTCCAGGTCCACCTTCTGTCATGCAGCTTTAACTACACACATGGCCTCTTATTGTAGAGAGGATGACGAAGGTGTAAAGTTCCTATATAATAATCGGCATTTTATGACTCAGGCAAGGATGCCAGAAACAATCAGAGAATTTATACACTTAATGAGAGAAATGAGTTGGGGTTTATTTCCTAAGGACAGTTGGCATAACAACGAAAATATATATTTTGGATAAATACTAAATAAATATCAAAGACACAATTGAAATTAAGGACTGACCAATTTCTTTAAGGAATCTAAGAATAAGTATTTTCAGATTTAATTATCTTCTCTTGTTCTCATGGATACACCGATTGATAAAATCGAATGGCATCTTCCTAATGGGATTTAATGTTACAACACAATTTACATAAGCAAGCACAATTTAAAAGAAACATGGACACTTACATGTAAATTATATAATACAAGATTGATAGCCCGTTTTCCCGGTATTTTCCATTCACTATTTAATAGGCCATATATAAAACACCATGTATTCCACACCATGGAGCAGAACACTCAAAGAAGACGATATTACTGTCAATGTTCAGTGGGCCAGTGAACAGTTTAATGTATTGTTACAGATTTATTTGTACAGAGTGAGTGACTAAGATTTTACACAACTTTCACAGTAGTCCAGCAATATCACAGCGGAGACACCAAGAAGGGATATCCTACATTGTGCACATGTACCTGGGCGTTATTTATTCAACCATAAGTGCACCCAGCTGCCCTCTATGTTGGATACTGGATATTAGATTCGTGCTTGTATTCGTTCATGTACAGTTCGAGCAAGTTCTACACGTTATGTCATCCATGTACAGTTCCATCAATTTCTATATTTTATGTTATCCATGTACAGCTCCATCAAGTTCTACACTGCATGTCATCCATGTACAGTTCCAGAAGGTTCAACATTTTATGTCATCCATGTACAGTTCCATCAATTTCTATATTTTATGTTATCCATGTACAGTTCCATCAAGTTCTACACTTTATGTCATCCATGTACAGTTCCAGAAAGTTCAACATTTTATGTCATCCATATACAGTTCCATCAATTTCTATATTTTATGTTATCCATGTACAGTTCCATCAAGTTCTACACTGCATGTCATCCATGTACAGTTCCAGAAGGTTCAACATTTTATGTCATCCATGTACAGTTCCATCAATTTCTATATTTTATGTTATCCATGTACAGTTCCATCAAGTTCTACACTGCAGGTACACAACGGATACGCCAATAGTATGTGTAACGGACACACAGTACACTGATTGGTCAACAGTACATGTAACGGATACGTCAACAGTACACATAACGGATATGTCAACAGTACACATAACGGATAAGTCAACAGTACACATAACGGATATATCAACAGTACACATAACGGATATGTCAAATGTATATGTAACGGATATGTAAACAGTACATGATACGGTATGGTCAACAGTTCACATAACGGATATATCAACAGTACACATAACGGATATATCAACAGTACACATAACGGATAAGTCAACAGTACACATAACGGATATGTCAAATGTATATGTAACGGATATGTAAACAGTACATGATACGGTATGGTCAACAGTTCCCATAACCGATATGTCAACAGTACACATAACGGATACATCAACAGTACACATAACGGATATGTCAACCGTACACGTAACGGATATGTCAACAGTACACATAACGGATATATCAACAGTACACATAACAACTATGTCAACCGTACACATAACCGATATGTCAACAGTACACATAACGGATATGTCAACAGTACATATAACGGATATATCAACCGTACACGTAACGGATATGTCAACAGTACACATAACGGACATGTCAACAGTACACATAACGGATATTCAACAGTACACATAACGGATATATCAACAGTACACATAACGGATATGTCAACCGTACACGTAACGGATATGTCAACAGTACACATAACGGACATGTCAACAGTACACATAACGGATATGTCAACCGTACACATAACGGATATGTCAACAGTACACATAACGGATATGTCAACCGTACACATAACGGATATGTCAACAGTACACATAACGGATGTGTCAACAGTACACATAACGGATATGTCAACAGTACACATAACGGATATGTCAACCGTACACATAACGGATATGTCAACAGTACACATAACGGATATGTCAACAGTACACATAACGGATATGTCAACAGTACACATAACGGATATGTCAACAGTACACATAACGGATGTGTCAACAGTACACATAACGGATATGTCAACAGTACACATAACGGATATGTCAACCGTACACATAACGGACATGTCAATGTGGGTTGAGGGGGAAGTTATACAGTATGCAAGGTGATGGAAATATCAGGCACACGACCTTATTACCTTTAATCCTGTTGTACTATGTAATCCTTTTCAGATCATAAAGATCATTCAGTGATCGAGTTGTTCTCGATCCTCTACCTTAGTGATTGGAATCCATGGTTGTCATCCAGGGTACGGTCAGGTGAGACGTCTTGGAACTGACCATGAGCTTTAAGTATTTACTCTATCAACCCCACTCTGCTGTGAAGGCTCTACCTGAACACCAGGTACCCGCGTCTCATCACCTACCCAGTACCTGAACAGTGGTAGTCAGCCAGGGTACGGTCAGGTGAGACGTCTTGGAACTGACCATGAGCTTTAAGTATTTACTCTATCAACCCCACTCTGCTGTGAAGGCCCCTACCTGAACATCAGATGCCCGTGTCTCATCACCTACCCAGTACCCGAACCTAAATAACGTACAGCTAAAAAGGCCTGTTCTGGCAAAGTCAGTATATATGAATTTTACGTTTCACAATAATGTTTATTTTAGTTTATTCAATTTAACTGACAATTAACTGGTTATTATATTCCCGAGATCAAGTTGCACTTACCTTCCCGTCAAAGAACTCCTTCACAGGTTGCTGATTCTTGGGTATCTCAGTTGATTCTCCGATCATTATGATGTCATGGATGTCCGTCCGATTCAAATATGCCTCATTCAAAGCGAACTGCATGTAACTTAAAGTTGATTCAAACAAGTCCTGACAAAAGAAAAAGGTTACAGTAATAGAACGCTTATGATATGACAATGCAGCATCATTTAAGACTTGGGTTAACATC